GACAGTGGCACTGATGTAAAGAGATATTTCCCTGATGACTGTGTTGTGCAACACTCTTGATATGCGGCTGTGGGGGCTAGGTTCCTAACATTAATACTTATTATCTATTCTTCATTATTCATATATCTTTCATCAAGTTAACCCTTACCATATCTAGGCTATAATTCATTTTGGTATTCTATTTTATTTTGTTTGCGCTGTCTCTCCACCAAATCCAAAGATAACACGGCGCCACCACGACATCAAGTCAATTCCCTATAAACTCCTCTTTTCACTCAAGTATTAAATAATTCCAATACTCAGATCCTCACTCTACAATAGGACGAGTTGGTGAATACAGCTGAGCGCTAGGTGATAAGTTTTCACAGATTCATATCTGAAGCCTCTCCTCCAAGACGGGTGTGTTGTGTTCTCCTACTTGTTTAATGAGGACCCCGCCAAACACTGCGCCTATCACCTGCTAGTCAACTCATCACGGTAAGTTCTCTGTCTTACCTTTCATTATTTTACCTTGCTTATTCAATAATTATATTTATTATTCAAATATATACCATATTTCAGTATTTTCTCAAGCAAATTCGTGCATTAAAATCTAGTTTCATTTCTGATGGGACAAGCACTGTTAGATTAGGATGATACTCAATAATGACAGTAGTTAATTATTTGAGAGTGAGCTATTTTGTTAATTAATTATGTTAAATTACCAGGCTGCTACAGAGTTGTCAGTTTGAGATAGTTGATTGTTGCGGCTGTTAACCATACCCACTCCAGATACACCCTTCAGAACTCTCTTTAAGTACACTACGAGGTATTAAGTAATTGATCAGGTGCATAGATTAAGTAAATTAAGTTATTCATAAATAAATTAGTAATTAATCAAATAAGTGGACTTCATTCGTTTTAAAGAAAGATCAACGAAAAATGTTCTTGTTTGATTTCAAGTGATTGTTTGGATTTTCTGATTTGTTGGTAAGGCTTTCTTGTGATTTTACGTACTGTTTGAATTTAACCTACACGAGTAAGATATATTACCCTCTTGTATCATCTTATAACCTTTCAGTTGAGTCAGACTTTCGTAAACAGACCCATGTCTTTTATTGGTGCTTCAAAAGAGAAAACGCCAGCCTCTGCTTTTCACAAATCTTGCAAGGGTTAGTTTTAGAAATTATTAATAATTCAATTTCTCTCGTTTTAAAAATGGCTCTATTCGATTTCTCATTCTTTGTTGGATCAACGTTTCAAAACGGTTTCTTACTTGAACCAGATATTGCTAACCAGGAATCTATTCAGATTTTCGAACACCACTACAGGAGAAACTTTTAGACTCGTACGTCACTTGATGCTGACGTCAACTCCCAATAAAACAAACGGTAAGTTCTTATGGGGGTGTTGTGTTGGTTCTTGCATCAGTATGAGTTAATTATACACGGATCGGGAATTCAATATCATGTTTCTGGCAAAATTTGTAGCGTTTCAATTATCCTCGTATTAGAGCATTTCGCAATAAATGGAAAAAAACTAAAAATTTTGCCCCAAAATAATTTGCGTGGTATTTCCTGGTTATTGGACATATTTGAAGACGCAGTGATCGAAGTTCAGATCCATCAAAATTATAAACTTGTTAAGTAGTTTCGGTTCTCATCGCAAATATTTGTAACGTTAGTAGCGCGCTTAATTTTGTTGATTAAGAAGCACTTTGTTTTTGCATTCAGTGTAACATGGAAATTTTTGGTTCTTAACAGTATATCGATCGGTTTGCGCGCGAATCGATTATTTATTCTGGAATCTCAGAATTAAAGATCAAAAAGTTGCTCTTGAAATCTATTCCTTTCCAATTCTAGTTATATATTCTGATAATTTAGCTTACTAGCTTATAATCCATTCATGCTCAATCTATTTTCAGTGCGAAAAATCAAATTCAAGTTCTTCTTCGTACTTTTTACCTGACCGCTGTAAAGACCAAATGGAGATACAGTGATGAAGAACTTCAAGAAGGTTGTTCTATGAACAATATAGCGGCAACTTATGATAGCTGACGGAGCTTTGAATATTGCAATCAGTGCGTTTGACTACTGGTGGGGATTTGAATTTTATTTTCTTGGACACATTTCATGTCCAGAATTTAATTTCACACAAAAGGACCCACTGATTTGTGTCAAAACAATTAATTTAGTTTGACTATTACCATATTTAGATGTATGATCGAATGAGCGCTCTTTCCGTGATATTATGGGAATCATTCGCTTTAATAATTTCTTTGTGTTTTCAGGGCCTCAGTTCCAAATGAACAAAAAATGGTGTTCGTTGGCCGAAAACTGATCGTATAATATTTAAATTTTTGGGAGCATTGTTTAAGCTTCAATCGATCCTGAGGACATCGCAAGTGAACTACACTCGTAATTCGTTTCTTCCTAGTTTTCTACATTTTGTAGCTGTCTAGTGTATAGATTGTAGGGTTTTATTCTATGCTCCAGTGCAGTTTGTATTCTTATTTAAATTTGTACAGATGTTTGTAGAAACTTTTATAATGAAAATGTTCGTTAACTAGTTATTGTATCAATTTATAAGAATTAGATTTGTTCTCAAGAAACTCTCAGCGAGACTTCTTTCCTTATTAAGGTCGATCATGTTCAGAGAAATAATACTATCGATTGATGGTTTCTTTAAGTACAAAATCCTACAGAATACTTTAATTTGGAGCAGAATAATCTATAGTTTGGGGTATTCTACCTATTATGGGGAAATAAATTGAGGACTCATCCAATATTTATTTAAATTAACAGTTTGGATTTTCTAAACCACAGGATGCTCTCAAACACTCATACATCCATTGCGAGCATTACTATATTACATATGGATGGAGGTTCGTTAATTAAAGAAAACTAGTAACACTGACTTACGACTTTACAGCAATATTGTTTAGATAATGTTTAGTAGAATTAGCTACAGGCGACAGTGACTACTGGGACAGAATCAGTCTGTTTACAATAGATCATTGTTACATACCAGCTCACGCTGTGATCGGCCTTGGAGAATATAAGCACACTTTCACAATAAAACGAGCAATTCTGTCTACTTTTAGATCACACATACAAAAATTTAAAAGTTACTGAACCCGAATCTGGTTTTAAAAAATGATGAGACTCTGCCAAGAATTAAAATCTAAAACGCGGCACGGAACATACATTGTTAGAATTATATGGGAACAAAATTTGAAAAAGTCTGACTAGTCTCCACGTCTGATCCATCAGACGGTTTTTTAAAAACCGTATAGCCATTTTTTGTTGTTTTTTTCAAGATCAGTGGTTTGTAAGCACAACCACATTGAGAAGGCGGACACGCGAAATTTTTCAACTTTGCCTTATCATGTACATCTGACTCGCAAAATATAATAAAACAAAAAGTTTACCTTTTCATAAAGTAACCCTTTGGCACAGTCTCGATATCAAAAATGTGGGACAAAAGTGGAATTATCGTCTTTAATGCTGCCGTCAGGTGCGATTTTATTCCTCTTGAACCCAACTTGCTGTACAATCTCTTCTACCTACTAATTATAGTAACAAAAATAAAAATACAACGAAATATTTTATAATTATAATTCAACACACTGAGAGTTGAAAAAGCTAAAATCTGAACTCTGAACAAAAAGACATGTTTTGGTTCTAACATGCTTGATAATTTATTTAATTTAATAACTAAACGGCATCTTTTTGATTCATCAACCAAAGAAAAAAACTTAAAACTTTGCACAAATTGGGAAAAGTAAAATTATTCTACCAGCTATAATGATTCATACCGAATTTGTTAATTTCTCGGGTCGGGGAGTCATCACGAATTTTCTTTCATTCTCGGTTGACCCAATGGGCAGGTGCGTGGATCGCTCCTGAATATCGTTCTGAAGAATTTGAACAACTCCGCAGAAGAAAAGCAGCGGTGAACGTCTGTCTAAATCCAGACTCGGTCGTGTCTTCTTGTATTGTCGATCTCGCCTTCCGAATCTTCGGTTACTGAAATAAACAAAGATTAGTGTTTAGTGTGAAATTATGACTTGCATTTTGCAAGTGGTCTGTACTTAACGGATTCGGATCATTTGCTTGACCATTGGATCGGTCCATGCACGTGTAAGGTAGCTCATGTACGAGTGTTACTGAGTTGCACGTCGTGCGCGGCTCCGACTGGCACTTGTGGTAATAAATAACCATGAGCTGATATAATGATTCCCGCCAAATAATGAAAACAGCTAGTACTGTGTTCTTCTTGATGATTCGCTGGGATGTTATGAATGCCTTTGTCAATATTTACTAATCCACGTTCAATCTTTGCGATGATATGTATGTAAACGCATGTTATAGGTATTATAATAGTTGAAATTTATAGTTGGTTTAGTTACCGAGCTGTTGCGTGATGTTGAGAAGTTTGTGATTTCTGCATTTTCGAAACGTTCTTTTTTCGAAAAGGAACGCAAACCGTTCTGTCAGTCGACTAACAAAACTGAAGGGTGTTCCCTCAATCCGGTCGAGGTCCGGTTAACTTAAGCTGCTGTGAGCTGTTCAAGTGCAAAGCGAGCTGGCAGAATGATGTTAAAACTCTGCAGTGCAGAACCGAAGTGTCCTGCCTAACTTCATTCATCAACTAGCTCTTTCCTTAGTTTACACCGGAGACGCATATAGGAATTTCCTGGATAGCTGTCACGTGGACTGTCACAGAGTATCGAGTGAGGGTTTATGGTTGAATATATAGCGCGTGATATTGAGCTATTATGCAGATCCAGTACGGTCCATATAAGGGCGTAATTAAGAGCTTGCAGCTAGTTCGGTCTCTATACTTTCACTAGCTGCATCTCGCACCGTGATATTTGCACAGCTAGTTACCGCCTTATACGGTATAATCAACAGGTAGAGCCTGTTCTCGGTGTGTCGTCGTGGGTGCCGTGCGTGCGTGCAAGTATATATTTTGTAAAACAATGTTAGTATAAGTTAAATCTTTGGTTGGGATTAAACATGCAAGTGTTGAGTTGCATAGTTGGCAGTGCACTGGTTTGTGCTCAGATGGGTGAGAGCAAGGTTTGTATGAACCCTCGCGAAAATCGTTGTTACGTTTGAAAACTGTAACTCAGCTCGATTATCATGTTACATAGCTTTAGTAACTGGTGATGGAAACAGAGCAGTGGAAAAACAGACGGAAAGCCACAAGACTGAAGTCTCGGGATGGGGAAGCGCTGATGATGGGCAAGAATAATTTAAGCGCCTAGGCGCTCCCCAAACAGCCAATAACACATTTTCTGAAAATTTCTAATTTGCGAGTAAAAAATTAGGTACGACCATAAATAGGCATATTTGTATGTTGTAGCAATCTCATCAAATTTCTTTAAGTTCTGGATTTTAATTTCCTTGACGCTTTAGAACTGGAAGAACTGGTGAACTGGTGGAGAGTTGAAAGAGGCTAGTTTTATGGCAGGACATGGGACAGGTAGGGTGCATGTCTTATCTGTTATTCTCCCTGTGATTTTTTTATATTCACGGATGTCAAACTTTCGCAGCTCGGCGCGCGTGGCCCAGTGTTTGTGATTTTCGTTAAGGCCCGTGCTCAGCCTGTCATTTTACCTGGGGACCCCAGGCTATGATGTCATAAACATAATAAAGATTTGGCGAAATGTAAGGCTGAGCACCGCCAGTAACCTGTCATTCCGACTATATCTATTCGTATGTTATGAACAGAAGTAATATATAACAGCATGCTGCATGAGGTACCGGCAGTTTCTGGTTAGCATCTTGCCGATCTTACGCCGAAATTGTGGTGGATTGCAAAAAACATTTTTTGCGCGGCGATTAGCTTCTCGACGGTAGCTATAGAGGTTCTTTCTACAATTAATACCTATTTTTTGTGGTATTATTATTGATTATATGGACGTATTAAATATGAAAATAAATTTGTTGAAACCCTAAAATTTTTTTGAAATATCTAAATCGATTTTCGAAAACTATCTTTGTGTATGCGTGTCTGATAATTTTATTAAAAAAAAAAAACATTCCATATTCTTCCATGTGTTTAGATAAGTTAGAACTCTTTTTACATAAACAAGCTATTTTGACCTCTGACGTGCAGTCTTTTATTTATATTGTTTTGTTTTGAACAAGTAAAATAGATCCGATTAATCCGTTTGTCGTTTTGACTTGAACCGTTGAAATCAATTTATCAATTGTAATTTGAGCCATTATTGACTTCATTTTAAACTGGATAGTAGTTCGAAGCTGTTACGGGGATTGTCTGCTAGATACACCAGAGTAATCAGTCATGTCTTAAAAGACGTATTTTTGGCCCTGAATCGATTGGGGATAGTGGGAAGTGTTAAAAAAAAATGGGGGTTAACCCGGTTTTATTTTGAAAATAAACCGATTTTTGGCCCCAAAATGGCCCATTTTTTTGAGGGTTTTTAGAAATTCGACAGGTTAATTTCAAAGAAATGCTTGCATTTTTGGTATCTTGTACATTTTCATTTGCGCACTAGCTTATATCAATATATAAGCACGCACAAGAGTTACCCGGTCAAAATAAAAAACTCCAAAAAAATGTTTTTTGCGCGCTAAATTTTTTCGGCGGCTCTTTCATACATCCACAATGAAATATTTTTGCCCACAAAGTGTTTTAATACTGTTGAATAATACTATTGATAGTTTTTATGCGTCAAAACAGTTTTGAAAGCGGAAGAAAAAAAATTATATTTTTCGTGGTGCTGAGCACTTTGAAAATTGTTGTATAAAATCGGAGCGCTACCGTAAAAATTTTAGTACCCTTCCCTGAAATCTTTAAGGTTTTTGTACAGTTAGTGTTTTGTCCTTTTCTGAAGTTCATGCCTTCTTGGCTTTTTTCATTTAATATTTGTTTAATAACTGCTTTACGCACGTTAAAGTGTTTTATAATAGTAGAGTGCATTTCTAATTCTTCAATGTTACTTTGTTGGATTACCTTTACTTGGCTGATTACTTTTGGTTAATACCAATTTCTCAATTAGTATTGCATTGCTTATATGTTCAATGATACAGCTTCGTTATATTTATAGTAAAAATGAAACTGCATCCTTTTACCCATAAGTATGTATCTCGTATTAGTCGTTCCATTAATTGTACCAATTTGTCATGTTTTTTTTTCAATGTGATCTACGTTTTTGGAATCTTTACGGTGTCTTTTCTTAGTATTGTGCTACATTTTTAGCTTTTGAAAATTGAAAATGTTTCAATATTACAATATTTCAAATTACCACTAATTTTAACTTTTAAAAATTGAAAATGTTTCATATTTACCAATAATTACAGAACATTTCATTATTTTTACTTCGTTCATAAGTTTGTGATAACTATTTGTTTTGTTATCGATTAATTATGTAAATGTGTTGTTTTATCCTAGAATGGTGGTTTAGATCAGTTAAATAATAAAAATGTAATTTAAAATGTTAATTGATTTAAACTTTGTTGTGATAATGTTGAAGGAAAAAATTTGTTGTACTTTCATTGAAATTATTTTTGAACATCATTCTAAGGTGACAAAATTTGCCTTTTATTTCGATTTTTCGACATTAATTTAACATTATTTCAGCATATTCAACACATTTAACATAATCTGTGGACACCATTTTATCATATTTCAGCAATTCAACACATTTTATTAACCTCAGGAGTTGATAACAGAGAATGTGACTTAGAAACAGATAGGGTTCGTAGCTCTTATCGGTAAAGATTGTGGCGCTACAGCTGGGCGCGAGATACCACGCTTTCGTTTCATTTCTGTGGTATGTTTTCGTGAATTTTATAGTTTTCGTGATGTTGTTCAGTCTACAAATAAACTCTTAGTATTTTCAATTTTATATTTTTTATCGAATTTGTTCATCAGGAAAACATTCACAAACATGCGACCCATAATATTGTTCCTATCCTTATAGTACACATATATATAATTATATTCAACTAACAGGAGCAACTTAACTTTTCACAGACACGTTGGGAATAGAGGTACAGAGATTGTGACAGGTTCAGCTGGAATGTTTGGGAGTTAACTCATCAGTAAAAACTTAAACTCCTTTTCCAAGCTAGAGAAGTTACTCAGTACGAAGTGGGTTGATCCCATTGGATCTGAGTGACATTCTGTTCTTCAGACAGGTTATTTGGGTGACGGTCTCCAAGTTGTTACTCGCAGTATTTCTATTTCTTGCATAATAAACTTATTAATACCTTAACTCTTTGTGTCTTTGTTGATGATTAGGGACTGTAATACAAATTAATCATGTTTCAATACAACTTTATTTTAATGAACGATAAAAATTCACATCACGAAACATTTTCCTTTCTTTTCAGTGCCCATAATCTCTCTGCTGTTCCGAGGAATCATCGCGTTTCCAATTTATCAAACAGCTCCTCTCCCGCTCCACACGTGCACTACTCCCAGCATCAGATCACGTGACGATACGCCTGCACGTGGGCGTGTATCACGTGACCATTGCAGCAGTATCATGTCAGAGACACCAGAAACATGCGTACAAGTAGCCAGTTCTGCTGTTTTTGAGAAGGAACTGTACAGTGACGCGATCATGAGGCCTAACACAATTACATCTACCCCACCCAGGCACTTTCCATGTTTAATTGTATCATCCAGAAGGGGGGTGGTGGGTACTTCTGATTTCAACCACTAATTATATCAAAAAATCATGCTATTATTTTGTTGCCGGATAATTGTTAATATGTCAAATAAAGTTTGCTATTTGCGCCCGCAACAGGAACCCTACCACAATACTCTGAACCAACTTTATTTATTTTTCATTACCCAGCTCTTCCCCTCTAATCCTCTAACCCCCTTTAACCCATATAACCCCACAAACCCTCTAACCCTTCTAACCCTCTGACCCCTCCACAGGAAGACACCACTTATCAGACCTACCTGACAGACTAGTCTACCAATCAGAGGGGATACTGAAGAGTTTTGTTAGCTCCTCCCAGGCTACTCGCCTCTATCTTAGTGGAAGTACAAGTTAATCATTTTGGCAAAGATATCAAGAGGTTGGAACAAGAAGGTTAGAGGTTGTAGCTGTATTTGTGGTTCAAACTCTTGAAGGATTAGATAATATATATTATTGTTAGCGAAGGAAATTGAGGTCTACTTTAGCTTAATTACTATGTTTTGATTAGTCGAAATTATTTCAAATGAGCACAATTCTAGTGTTGGTGTAGGTAAGTAAAGTTTTAATTAAAAAGCTAACCATCACAACTCTCCAGAGTATACAGTAGTAGTATGAGTACACCTAAACACGTGCACGGACAGCATTTGTTCTGTGTACAAGCAGAGACTGTATTCACTGCTACAGCTGGTTGGACCTAGGATCTTAAGAGGCTAAATCTTACATAGTTCTCGTGAGGGATTTCTTTTGCACACACTCGCTCTTTTTATGGTATTTTAGTTTTTATCAGCTTAACCCGAAACGATTTAAATCTTTTAAAATTTGCTATTTCATGCTACGACGTTATAAACAATAAGTTTTCATGAGATGTAATGGTCTTAAATTATCAATTTAGCGTCCCCACTTATAATGACAGTGTCATGATCGTTAGAGAATTTCCCTGAGGGACTGTGTCCTTGTGCCAACACTCTTTGATATGCAGGCTGAGGGGGTATGTTCCTTACCATTAATACTATATATCTATTCTTTCATTATCATAAATCTTTCATCAAGATACCCTTACCTATCTAGGCTTTAATTTCATTTTTGGTATTCGATTTTGTTTGTTGCGCTGTCTTCACAAATCCAAAGATAACACGGCGCCACCACGACACACCAAGTCAAATTCCCGATAAAACTCCCTCTTTTCACTCAAGAATAATAATTCCAATACCTAAGATTCCTCACTCCATACTTAGGACGAGTGGTGAATACAGCGAGCGCTAGGAGATACGTATCCTAGATACTATCCCTTGAATAGCCTCTCCGCCAGACGTGTGTGTTGTGTTCCTCCTGATTTACTGATGACCCGACAAACCACATGGCCTATCACCTGCTAGTCAACTCATCACGTAGTTCTCCTGTTTACCTTTATTATTTTACCTTTCATTATTCATTAATATATATTATCAAATAGTACAATATTTCATTATTTTCATCAGCAATCTCGTGCAATTAACTCTTGTTTCATTTCTGATTGGGACAAAACGCACTGTTAGATTAGATGATATCTCACTAATGACAGTAGTTAATTATTTGAGAGATTGAGCTAATTAGTTAATTAATATGTAATTACACAGGATGTTACAGAAGTTGGTCAGTTTGAGATAGTGAAATGTGCGGCTGTTACAATACCCAAACTCCAGATACAAACCTTCAGAACTCTCTTTAAAGTACACTACGAGGTATTTTAAATATGATCAAGTGATTGATTAAGTAATTAAGTTATTCATTAAATAAAATTAAGGTAATTATCAAATAAGTGATTTCTCGTTAAAAGAAGATCAACGAAAATGTTCTGTTTGATTTCAAGTGGATTTGTTGGGAAATTTTTGATTAGTTGGTAAGGTTATCTTGTGATTTTTAGTACAGTTTGAATAACCTTCACGAGTAAGTTATAATTTACCCTCATTCATGTCTCATCTTATAACCTGTCAGTTGAGTCAGTCTTCGTTAAACAGACCTGTCTTTTATTGGTTGCTTCAAAGAGAATACGCAAGCCTACTGCTTTTCACAAATCTTGCAAGGGTTAGTTTTTGAAATTATTAATAATTTCAATTTCTCTCGTTAAAATTGGCTTATTCTGATTTCTCATTCTTTGTTGGATCAACGTTAAAACGGTTTCTTACTTGAAACCAGAATATGCCTAACAGGAATTCTATTCAGGGATTCAAATTTTATCGAACACCAACAAACAGAAACTTTTAGACTAGTACGATCACATGATGGGACGTCAACCAATAAACAAACGGTAAGTTTTTATGATGTGGTTCTTGTTCCATCAGTCCTGAGTATTTCACGGATCGGGTCATTCAATTTAATGTTTCGGGGCAACATTTGTGTAGCGTTTCCATTATCCTCGTATTAGAGGCATTTTCGCAATAAATGGAAAAAACTATAATTTGCCCCAAATTAAATGCGTGGATTTAATGGTTTTTGACATATTTTGAAGAAGCAAAGTTGAGCGAAGATCTGGATCAACAAATATAAATTGTTAAGTTTAGGTCTCATCGCAAATATTTGTAAACGTAGCGCGCTTAATTTTGTTGGAATAAGAAAGCCACTTTTTTTTTTTTTGGGGGGGGGTATTTTGCATTCAGCTGTAACATGGTAATTATGGTTCATAACATTATATCGATCGGTTTGCGCGCGAAATCGAAATTATTTATTCTGGAATCTCAGGAATTAAGATCAAAAGTTGCTCTGAAAATCTATTTCCCTTTCCAATTGCTAGTAAATATATCTGATAATTTATGCTGTATCTGCCCATCTAACCTCAGAATCACTGTAACATACTGTATGAGTATCAGAGTTATTATAGACGTAGCTGTTGGTGATTTACAGAGAAAGTTCAGATAATCGATCCTGAAATCATGCTTTAAATTGGATTGGTTTCTTAGCAACTGCTAAGGTTAATATAATTTCATATCTAATTTCTTCTGGTGTCCGGGACTAACATCTCTAGAATGTAGTTTTAAACGACGTTTTAAGGGCCCAACATCTGTCTTGGGAGTAGAGTTGTTCGCTTCCCTTATCTTCTCCACTTCTTGTACAATATGATCATGATCATGTCTCCAATTGTATCTTCCCTGCTTCAAGAACAAAGGACAGCATGTAAGGATATAGTCCACACAGGGGACAGTTGCTGGACGAGTTGTAGCTCCACAACTTGAGGTTGTTAGGGGTGCTTGCAACGTCATGAATGGCGTTGAGGTGAAACTTCGTGAGCTCAGGACTCAGATTGAACAGCACGCTCTGCCAACCTGTGAAGATATGGAGACCAAACTTTGTGCTTCAGATGTGTTATGATTCTACAAGTTTTTGTGCAAAATCTTTTGATTACTTGACATATATTAATAATGAGAATTAATTTGAGAAGATGTGGAATTAGGGTTCAAGCATTTATAACTATTATCTATTCGGAATTTTCGTGTGTTTCAGTGTTTGATATAATGAAATAATTATGTATAACATAAATTTAATATTATATTACATCAGGGGTCTGACGAAGAGCTGTTGTTTGTACCACGAGGTTTTAACTCAAACCGGCTTTTGAGACGCAAGAAAGCTCAACGGCGAAAGGACTTTGTAAGTTCTATTACTTTCTTGTGCAGTTGTAATCACTAGTTTCATAGGTAGTTCTGTGTCTGGTTCCTACTCTCAGAGTGTCCTGTTTAATCATGACATTCTTAAAACAGGACGCGTACTATAACCCAAAGTATCGTCAGCAACTCTCGAGTTTAAGATATTAAAGGAGCTGTTAGAACTTTAGAATACACGAAAACATGAACAATTTCAGAGGGGCTGGACAAAGTCAGAGAACGGTTCACCAAACATGCCAAGGTCGCTTCCAATTTCAATTTATTCGTGTTTGGATGATGTTTTATATTAATGCCATACAAATTCCGTAGCTTTTCATCTAGATGTGAAACAAATTCTTCATATTATGGAGCTTATAGGGTGTGGACTAGCTAAACCTTAATAAATTTTATAACAGATTTGGACTGTTGTAATTAGTTTCGCCTAAACCTGATTTGTATGTAAAACCTTTTCATCCTTGCATTCAGTCTTGCTTAGAATCTAATCATGCTCAAATCTAAATTATAAGCATATGCCATATTGGAAATTGCTAAAATGATTGATCTCGTTCCAGGGTGGGCATTTTTATATTCACGCGCTCACGACAAAGGATTATTTTGTGTGATTAAGGCGCCAACTTGTGGTTGCTCGCGGGCCGCGCACACATGTTTTCTACTTCTAGTTTTTGGCGAAACTAAAACTTTGTTTAAACTTTGTTAAATAAATAAATAAAGGCATTCAGTAACGATGTGATAAAACTACTTCTAGTTTTTGGCGAAACTAAAACTTTGTTTAAACTTTGATAAATAAAAGCATTCAGTAACGATGTGATAAAACTCAGATCGGTTCCAGATGTAATCTCTCCCTCAAAGCCCTCCCCGGATATGACGGTTTGAATATATATTGTTTCTCTTGAAAGTTTTCACGGGCACCCTAAGATTTCTAATGTATTCTTTTATTGATAAAATCACAGAACTTCTATTTAATCCCACTGAAAAGTTAAAATCACAGGAGAATAGCCCCAGTATGTTACCAAAGGCGAAACATAAGCTCAAAGCAGGTGACATCACGTCCATTCTGAAAAATAGAAAATCTTGTGATAATAGGAGCAGTGAGAATATAGCTGATCAAGGATCCGAGGTATGTTTGACGATAAATAATGTTTGATGATAAAGATGAAAACTGGAAACTGATGAGTTATCCAGTTGGGATTTGGTTGGAGGCCATATTGGTTTGATTAAATTCCGAGTAATTGTATGCTAAACTTTCCCTCTGGGTTTTCAAAGGTCCAATTTAATGGTGAAATGCCTACCCATCTCAGAGATTTGTTTGTTAGGTTGAAGTTAAGAAGATAAGCTGTGAAATAACAGTTCAAGAGCCCAGTCGTCGTAGACTCCCAGAGAGACAAAGATCACAGGTCAGCATTTGTTGTGATGTGTCGTTGATTATTTTTCATTAAACTTAAACTTTACATCTTTCACTCTTAATAAACAAAATTTCAAATGCAACTTTTTGAAACTGGTATTCCGTATTTGGTTGATTTAGTTAACGTAACTTGCAGAATGTACAGAGATTTATTTGATATTAAGTAAAATAACTGTTTTTAAGTATGTATTTCAATACAGTTCATTTTTCTTAGAGTGAACGGGGCCACAGATTGGACAACTCTATCGTTCAGAAAATAAAGCTATCGTCTACTTCAGTAAGTGAAGAAACTTTAGAAAACCATGTTATTTCGTCCTGTTATTTCGGAGGGATGTAATAGTGATGAGAATCTTGAACAAGTTGATGAAAGAGTCATTTTGAGCTTCGAAAATAACTAAAAACGATCAATTTAATTGTGATATCGTTATAAAAATCGTTACAAAAATTAGTCGTTGCATCCGTTTATCACTCCGATTAAATATTTACCGAGCTGGTAAATTTGGTGAATCCCAGCTTATACTGCTATATATCTGAAACCGACATTAGTCAGAATAAATGGCTACTCGAAGATGCTTACCATTAAAACAAATGATATTCCAAATTAAAATTCTATCATTGAACTTATATCTGATTGCCACTGTGAGCTCAATGTCTTCAGTCATCAGTGTGGATGTACTCAGTCGCAATAGTCTTCATTGAGTCAAACAACACCTGGTTACTCTTCAAATGTGGAGTGAAGCAGCTTGCATGACCAGCCCCTGGAATCACAACAAATTCCAGTAGCCTGCCAGCTCTGCGCAGTCTGTGAGCCAGCCTGGTGGCTTCTGTGATAGACTGGTCAAACTCACGCTCCATTATTATTGTCGGAGGGAACTTCTCCAGCAGCTCATCGCTCGCTTTGCCAGGGAACAGATGCGGGCTTGACTTCTGTTCTTCATAATTAGCGGCGATGAGATCTTTCCACACTTTCATCATAGTTCCCGCTGAATTACGTTCCTCCTTCGTCATGGCGAGGGGGTCAGAGAAACAGTAATCGTCTACCATCGGTAAACCAGGTATAGCCAGTTTGACTAAATGACTTTCATTATTCTGAGCTAGCATCACCATAGAACCAAGACAGATATAGCCTCCACCGATGTCTCCTGCGATAATAATCTTATCTGGATCCACCCCCAGACGTTTAGCATTCTTGCTTATATATTTTATGGCTTCGTAAAAATCCTTGACGTTATTTGGGCACCGAGTTTCTGGAGCAATACGATAATCAACATTGAACACAACAACTTTAAATTCCACAGCATAATGCCGCAAAAGGGTGCCAAAATCGGCAGCGGACATCGCCACCCCAGCTCCTGCGTGAGCGTAGATATAAGCGCAGTTATTCGTGTTTCCCTGGAGATTTTTGGGGGTATAAACTTTGATTGGCAAGTCAAAATCTCCATCGTGTGAAGTTGGAATTTCTAATGAGGTGGTAATGGTTTGCTCAACACTATTTTTAAACTTAGGGCTGGCTTTGAGGGCTTCTGCGTAGGGAGCACATCCTGCTCGGAACATAGCCACAAATTCCTTGTTAGACTTATCATCGTTCTTTACTTGTAGTTCAGTAAACCGTTCAACCATTCGCTTGACTTCTGGTGACTCGAAAGCGAGTTTTTCCGCATCAGTCATCGCTTTGAAATCTTCATCAAGTTTGCCAGTCAATTTGAAGTGAAAGAGATTTTTCGACACCACCCTTGACATTTTACCTATAAAGCTTTGATTGAAGATAACACATGCAAGAATTTTAATCGATAAAACAAAAATAGTCAAGCTGTCAACAAAAAGTTTGAAGATCAATTAAACTAGATAAGAGTTCGGGAACCAAATCAAAACGTGAAATAATAAAGTCTTTATGAAGACTTTATAAAGTATAAATTCTTCTGAGTTCAAAGTGAATAAAAATAATCGTTTGAAAGAGATCGTCATAAAACAAAATTTAACTTCAAGAGCAAACTGCTCAGTGTGCAGAAAGAAAAGCATCATCAATACAATCAATACAATCAGTATACACTTACAGAATTACAGACCTGAACATCATGCACATTTAAGCTAAAGCACTGAACAATGAATATGCACGTTGTGAAACTTCTGCAGTATTGACGATGAAATTCGGCTGCGAATGGAATGTTTACTATTACGTATTATTATTATGAAATAATAGTTATGTAAAGTTATAGTTATACAATATGCAGGGGTGGGGGGGGGGGGGGGCAAAAGTCAGACGTTGGTGCGTATTTCTCAGTCACTGGATGCCCGATTGAAATAATTCTCTGCGTTCTCCACAGTATCGTATCTTGATAGCTTAGGATTTGTATCTCCCAGTTCCACCGCAGTAAATATTCACCTGATAATGACAAGAAAGGTGGTGTGAGTGGAAATGTCCTAGATACGGCAAATAAAAGAAAAATAAGTTAACCACGAAAATATGAGGCGCGAAAATTCAGTAAAAAAATTAAATTGAAAAAAGAATAACCGAGATATTACATATAATTTCGTCAGGAGGGAATGTCAACAACAGAAAGATTCAAATGTGGATACATACCACATCTGTGAAACAAAAAAAACAGACTCGTGAGCTGGGAATCTATAGCAAAAGCAGATAATCGTGTAGTCGCCAAAATATATTTCCTGTAGTAGCTGACCTCGTTTAAAATTTAGTATTGAGTAGTTTTAAAACATGAGAGATCACATCATATTCTGGCGTCAGTGGTAATTTCGCTTTGTAATATGAACCAGATAAGATCATTTTTGTTCTATTAATTTAAAAAAAAGTAATGTAATAGTAAAGAAGACAGTTTTATAACTTAGCTTTAATAAATCCATTCCAATCAAGGTTAATACTATGAGTCGATGCCTGAAGTTAATCAGTTCAGTAAAGAATGAGAAGTAAACACAATTGTTTAAACCTTTTCTGATCAAAAGATAATAAATGGCTTTACTTAGACATATAAGACATTTAAGATTCGTATCGATTTAAAACAGACGTCATAATCTGCAGACTAGGTCCTTTCCTCTTAATACCTCATCAAATTCAGACAAAAAAGTTTTCATCATTTAAATTTACAGTCCTACAGTTGGGGATTTCCGACAAACTCAACAAATCTACATAATCATATGAAACACTAAGATTGGACGCTCTTATAATCACTGATTCAACCAGCAAGTTTTGTTGCTTTCCTGGGCCATTTTATACCGTCCCATAGTGTTTACAGCTTGCTACGCACTTTAACGAAAACAGCTCCTCTGGAATAATACCAACCGAATTAGGCAGTCGTGCACATCGGCGTTCACAAACCCGATAACAAAATCTTAAGTTTTCGGCTGATTGTTCAAATTCTGCCGTTTGTTCGGATATGATTGATTGGCGACCAGCTTTGCTTACTGGCCAATGTTTAATGTTTACTTTAAATATAATATATTATTATAGATACAAAATTGATGTAAAAAAGTAGCACAAAATACTTAGTAACTCCTAACCTCTATATGACTGATAAATGATAAATGTGATTATTAATCAGGCAGTATATTAAAAGATAGAACATAACTTATTATAAACACTGTCACAAAGATGAATTCCAACTATATGTGCAAGTTAGAAATTAACTATGCTTAATAGGCTCTCGAAAACTGTTTAGTCCTGTATGATCACTTAAAAAATCAAAAAAATGTACATTAAAACATGTTGCAAACACTCAAGCTAGCAACGTCAACTCAAACCAATTAATTCGCCACAAAACATATTTGACCCATATTATCTCTCAGCCTCAGCTTCAATCTTATCTCTGCAAAGGATTTTACCAGCCTTTATGAAAAACACTTTATCCTTCTCTTCTGCCGCTCTAATGTAAAAGTGGAATATCTGTGAGTAGGAAGCCTAATTAAAAACATGTACAACTTCTTAACGGCCTACAGTAGGCCTCGACTGGTTGCAATCTGTTTTTATCAGTAGGAACTTTGTACGGTTGGAGGAGAAAATCTTAAGATGGTTTAAAAAGCTAGTGGGCATTTTGGAGCGGGATGTTTATGGAGGTTTTGTAAGCGCTTCCCTGGTAATCTCACTCAGAGACTTCCCCATTTTCTTGACACCAAGATAAGTTGAATAGGAAATATTGCTGTACATATTGCTGTGCAATGTACGTTGCAAAATCTTGAATGTTGAGTAGGAATCACACCAGTTGAGGTGATTAATAAATCCATGAAGTTGATACATATTACGTTTTCTGAGCTCTTATATACTCACGACAACATTTGGGGATTGGCATCATTCTTACAAGATCTGATTCGTATCATGTTACCACTCCAGTCTTATTTATGGACACGAGGTTAATCACGTGGTCTGTAGGAATGTGATGTTAGGTACTAAACGAACATATTATCAGCAAGATATCTTTGTACTTTCATATTGCTTTGTTGATCTACAACTCAACCAGTTCAATAGTAATATGGCTGATTTTTACCGCTGAACTTTATCTGATGTCCTTAATAAAAGATGCTTTTCTTCTGATTGTTTTGCAGCTCTTCTCACTGGTAAGTTGACACATGTTGAACCTTTCTGATGGCAAGATATTTATATTCAGATACATTTATTGGAATTGATGTTTCTACGGCTCTCATTTTTGGAGGTGCTGGTATTTATTTTGAAAAATAATATTGAATAGTCCATAATTGAACTGAATAGACCAGAAAAGGCAATCTACTATTTTACCTACTTAATTATGTAATATCCGGATCGGAACATTATTTATTAGTCGCATAGTTGTAATGTTTCTGGGGCAAAATTTATAGTGATCCCGTTAACCTACTTTACCTACTAAAGACATGTATACTTATAGTTTATACGACCTCATATATTTACCAGAATCGTATAAACTGCGGTGGAACGGGAGAGATTCAATTTTTAAATTACACGGATTCGGCAGACTGTGTGGATGTGCTCCCGGAAGTGTGTGACTTTTACTTCAAGAACATTCTAATAGAGAACGAAGATGGCAATGAGCTCCACGTTCTTCCGAAGACAGATGATATCGGTAATTCCGTTAAAGTTAACTTAAGTAGAGTAGACGAGCTTGGCGAAGCCTTTGCTGTCAATTTCACGGCAAAGAAACGTATTACGATATCGATTAAAGTGTCTGGAAATGAGGAAAGAGCAATGACTGATTTGGTGGTGCCGTTTTCAAACACGACAGTTAAAGATGGATGGGTAAAACAGGACTATAGGAGTCAAGAAAGCAAAGGAACTCTCACTATACAGTACAGGCTGACAAAATGCGATGACAACTTCACTGGTTTAGGATGTGATTCCTGTGAAGATTCCTACTTCACACCACAGTGTGACAAATACTGCAAACCAAAACCAGGCTACTTCAAGTGTAACTCATCCGGAGAGAAGGTCTGTGAGGGAAGGAGAAGAGGACAGAACTGTGACAGTTGCACGTCATTTTATTTTGGGCATGATTGCAAGACTAACTGTGAACCTGCAGACGAATATTACATGTGCTCAGAAAGTGGACACAAGATCTGTTTGGATAACACAACGAGTGTTGCTAACAACTGCAGAGAAAGTAAGAATACTAACCTTGGAATGACCGTGGTGGTAGGGTCAGGTTCACTGATCATAGTTCTTGTAATGATCACTGGATTCACTCTTCTGCTCAGAAGGCAGAGGAGAGGGAGGATGGAGGAAGGCAGCAGTAGAGAATCTGCAGCTCATGTTCGCACGGATGAGAGAGTTGATTGTAAGAAGGGTCAAGCTATTACTGACAATATTGAGCATCCAATACCAGCCTACAAAGAAGTAGAGAGAGAAGGAGCAAGGAGTAAGCAAGGAGATGATGAAAGTGACAAGGATGGATACGTTCCAATGAAGAATATAAGAAAAGCTCGTCTTCTTTGTGAATCTACATCGGTAAGGAATCAAGAAGGATTGAATCACGAAAATGATGATAGATTAAACGATTCTAAGAGAAATATTCAGGATTTAAGATCAGTGTCTGGTAAAGCAGCAGCACTCGACAGCCAAGAAAAAGATTTTACTGAAACTGACAAGGATGGATACGTTCCAATGAAGAACATACGAAAATCTCGTCTCCTTTGTGAATCTAATTCGGTCAAATACTAGAGAACTCAAAACATCATAGACGGAATTAGCCTTGGAGAAATATGAAGGATCGCCAATAGGATACTGGAGTAATGATTAATCTGAAATTCTCTCTTATCTACGAATAAAACATAATGATTAAAGATTAAATTAGTGCTTTCGTTGAAAAAACAATAACGCCTGAATTTGTATTGAAACTTGTTGCAGTTGACCAACAAACTAGAACCGTGAATTGATTTTAATATTAACTGATTTTAATATAATTGTTAAGCAACTATTAATGATTTGATTTAATTAAGAATTATTGGCTTATTGCTGAGTGCAATGTTTCATAAAAATGTTTGAAAATGTGGAAGGTTTTTCAATATCAAATTGCCAAATCTTCCTATTAGATATTGTTAATTGTTATTATGTTTTGTTAACAAATATATTAGTTATTAGTCATTACTTATTTTCTATAACATATACATGTTATATGTGTTTAAGTAAAATATTTGTCTGTGAGGGTGTTGCGTACTTTCACATTTCAGCTTCTGGATCATTCGACTTACTGGAGCAGGTTGAGATTCGAGAAAGGCTAATTAGAAATGTTTTTTGTTTCTGGTTAACAAACCTTTATAGACTTTCCTCCGGCTTAACACTTGGTTAGAGTAGCTGAGTATGAGATACCTTGCCTAGAATAGAATAGAAAGTTCATGGGCAGTGAGTCTCGTGGTGAACAAGGAATTTAATCTATACATTATAACAAATTAGATCTTCTCTAATTTATCGAATTAACACCCCAACCCACGCGTTTCTGATTAACCTAGATAGTTCCACCATTCAACTTAAACCGTATATAATATGAATTGTCGACTCTAGATTACAAAAAGCTTTATCCAGGTAAAGGTAAATTTAAGCTATCATATAAGTAAAAAAGCCACAAACTAGACTCAATAATTAGTCCTACCCAGCCATTCAGTGCGGAGCGAGAGTAGTCGTCCCAGTATATAACAGAGTATATAATGTATAACAGAGTACGACAGCAATGAGATTGTTTGAAAATTCGATAAGTCAGAGGGCTGGGAAGCTCAATTAAATTTTACATGCTCGTTGATCCCCTAACTATAGAATCATTAATCTCTGCTGTTGCCAATCTTTCTAATTCACTGCCTTTGCCTTCTTTCAGTTTATATTCCTTTTCTCGTGTTTGTATCCGTCTATTCTGAGATAAATTGTTGGATTAATACCGGTTTACGATATGGCTAAGCTCATGGTCCACGCGATACAGCGAAGGCGTCAGGTTACAACTTTGACTTACATAATTTTCTCATATACAGCAGTTATGTCGTACATAAATGAAATACTATAGCATCGTAGGAGTATTAAGTAGCGACCTCAGACCAAATTTTCTTTGTACTTTGATAATTAAGGTGGTATTTAGTTTTAGGACGACCAATAAATGAGCAAAAAATTACATTTATATCTATTATTTATTGTACATCGCTCTTTTCTGAGTTCGCGAACTGGAACATAAATGCACAAATCCATTCGAACCTGTATTGACTATAGATAAAGCGGTTTTATCTACGGAGATTATGGTGGCTTTGTTCATAAATATTTAATAATATGTGATTGCACAAAAGAAAACAATATATAATACTGTAAAATAATTGCAAAATAAAGTGCCAAAGAGTTAATCAGTCCTGCATGAAGGATTAACTATCGCACCGACTAAGTACAAAAATATAAAACCGTTTACTCCAAATCAAAATTATCACGATCATTAATATTAATGTACACTTACAGATCTTAATTCTGACCTATGAAAGTTCGTAATTCTTCACCTACATCTAAACTTCTAGATAGAGTTAATAAGACCTGATAAGAGATAATACAATTTAATAACCAGAATATGTCCATTACTCTTTTTTCCTGGTGTAGTTAGTTTCAGGCACTACTACTACTACTACTATGTCGGAGCTAAGTCCGAGCTACGCCAGACAACCCCCTCCATATATCCCTGTCCCGCATCAGGGTTCGCAGTTCTTCTTTAGAGTTTGTCCCAACTTCCTTCAGTAACATAGACAAGTAGCTTTGTCTTGGTCGGCCTTGCTGTGCTCTACCGTGCGTAGGTTCCCATAAGACTAAATCACTGGCAAGTAGCTCAGGATGTCGGATGCAGTGTCCCGCCATTTTTAATCTCCTGCTTCGTAACTTGTTTGACAGCCTTGGGAGGCTACCATACAAAGTTATATTGCTGACCTTGTCCTTCCATGAGATACCCAGCACCATACGCAACATCTTTGTGTATGTCCCGTCCAAACTTTTCTCTTGAGCCTTTGTCAGTGTCCAGGTTTCTGATCCGTAGAGCAGTACTGATTCACAAGCCGCTATGAACAATCTAATCTTGAGGCTCTTTGAGAGTTTGGATTTCCAGATATCCTTCAGTCTATGTAGGGCACCCCACGCTTCTCCCTTTCTAACCCTTATCTCCCTATCTGTGCTCTCAATCCAGGAGCCTAAGTAGATGAAATCATCTACATTTTCTATGGCTTCCCCGGATCGACTTTGTAGGTCGCTAGATCGATCCTCCATATTCAGTGTCATGACCTTGGTCTTGCCTTCGTTTATGTGTAGTCCCACGCTTGCTGCCGCCGATTCTACTCTGAGCAGGAACTCGTTAGCCTTGTCCATGTCCTCAGATATAAGTGCTATATCATCTGCAAAGTCCACATCGGTGATGATCTTGGGCCCCACTCTTCTGCTTTTTCTACGTTCGAGGGTGAGTCCAAGTCGCTCCGCATCATCGCCTATGGCTTGCCTCATACAGTAGTCGATGACTATTGCAAAGAGGTAAGGTGCTAAGGTATCACCCTGTAACACACCTGCAAGTATCTCGAACAATTCAGTTTCTCCGTCTGGAGTTAGGACTTTGGCCATTGTCTTCTCGTACATGAGCCGTATAAGCTGCGCGATTTTGACTGGAATGCCGTAAGCTTCTAGAATCTTTAGCATTTTCCCACGATGTACACTGTCGAAAGCCTTCTTAAAGTCTATAAATGTCAGAACAGCTGGCAGTTTCCGACTCTTGACACCCTCTATAAGACGTCTCAGTACCAATATCTGTTGAGTTGTTGACCTTCCTGGTCTTAATCCATTCTGGTTTCTACGCAGAATTGTCTCGATTTCTGGCTTCAACCGGTTTAGAACCATCTTGTTTAGAGACTTGGCAACTAGGGATGACAAGCTTATTCCCCGATAGTTCATTGGTTCGCTAAGGTCGCCCTTCTTTGGAATTGGTATGATGTTGGCAGTTGACCATTGGTCTGGTTTCTCACCTTTCAATAGAGCATTGTTACAGAAGTCTAAGACAATTTGATCAAGGTCGCATCGTTTTAAGACTTCTGGGGCTATGTTGTCGTCACCCCATGCTTTCCCTTCCTTTATGCTGGACTATGCTTTCCTGTACTCATCCAACGTAAACGGTTCTGTTCCGATATTCAGAGGTGGGTGGACTGGATCAATATCCTCTTCCGCGTTCTCTACCGTCGGTGGTGAGCCGAGAAGAGTAGCAAAATAGTCCTTCCATTTCTGAACCCTTTCCGTTGGTGAGTTTCCCTTGATTTTGCCAGTATATGATGGAGCTTTACCTGTGATCTTGTTGATCATGGTCCAGCTTTTAGCATGTCTGCCCTGCCAACTTGCTTCCTCCAGTTCCCGGACCTGCCCCTCCAGCAGGTGCTCTTTGGCTGCTTGATAAGCATCGCCTAGCTTTTGTTTGCCCTCTTGAACAGCTATTCGGTTGTCTTCTGTAGCATCTGAGTGGTATTTTATGCTACATTCCCTCAGCTTCAGCCTGGCAATCTCAACACTTGGAGTCGCTGAGATTTTACATCTTTTCTTTTTCTCCTTTTCAGGTAGTAAAAGTCGAGAAGTTGTCCTATTCGCATCAATAAAGCATTGGTACCTTTCTGTCTGATCATCCTTTTCAAGTATGGAAAAGCGGTTTTTAACTTCCACTGTGTACCTCTCTTGTAGAGCGATATCAGTTTTAAGTTTATACCAGTCCAGAACCGGAGCCCTCTTCTCCGTCTTGCTTATCCGTAGACTAAGCTTTACCCTTGCTACGACTACTCTGTGATCCGAGCCAATACTGTGGAAACTACCATATGCTTCGGAGTTTTTGACGGAGTTCCGCCATTTCTTCCGGCAAATGATGAAGTCGATTTGAGATTTACTTTGACTCATATCTGAGAGATATGTCCAAAGTTTACCTCTTCGCTTCTGAAATCTGGTGTTTGTGATTTCTAGCTGTCGCTCCAACAGCATATCCTCTAGCAGTCTACCATTTCGGTTTGCTGGACCCTTGTGGAAGGATGTCCAGTTTCCTGATGATGAGACATGCGCATTGAGGTCTCCTACAACGAATAGTAAGTTGTGGGCTGGTATCTGGTCGATGGCACCACCAAGGCTGTCGTAGTAGTTTTCTGCTTCGTCGACAGTCGCCCCCTCTGTCGGGCTATAAGTCACAATAACAGTTGTGACCGGGTTCCCTGTTTTGTTTTGAAACCCCACGGTGGAGGTTGGCGTGTGCCGCAATTTATTAATCAATGGTTATTACATAAATGAAATTATAGAAGTCACACTAAAATATAATAATGTAAAATAAAATATATTAAAATAAATGCCCTACTAAAAGTACTATATAACTAACGGTCTGCAAAACTGGTTGAAGTCGCAATTTGTAAACATGCTAATTACTATTTAGTAATAATAGATAAAAAGTTTTGCGCGGCAGATGTAAATTCGGCAATATAAATGGCAGTGAAATTAAAATGATATGTTGTTGATAGAAGATCATAGTCATTTGTCGCGAGTGATCTTTCTTTACGCGTTGTCGCTTACTTATAACTCGGTGCTGTAGTCTATTTGCGAGCGCCCTTCTCTTTGAGACTTTCTTAGCCCTGGTATACTGCAAAGTTTCAGGCACATTTTTCGTAAATTTTATTACTGCTTGGTATCTCTGAGGCCGGTCTTCTCGGAACCTCCATTTCCTTCTTTCACCTGTAATTTCATTTTATCGGTCTTTTTGAAGTTGTTACTCGGCCTTTGGCAAAAAGTTTTGTCTTCAGAAGAGATGGTATGTTCAGGACACCTTGTACAAGAAGACGAGTGCTTTCCGCTGAAATTATTTTCTTGGCACCTCTCGCCTGGTTCCCTTGTTCCAAAACGTTCCCGCAGGGCAGCTGCATATTCCGCTTCTTTACCTGGTCGATGTTTCACAATCCACACAACCCGTCCCGTTCCACCTTAGTTCACCTGCGAAGATTGTGGTAGAGAAGTGGCTTTATCTGGACAATCTCTGCAAATGCCCTGATCTTGGTTATTGTACGCGGTTGAAGCTGGGCAAGGTTGACAAGATCCAGCAAAGTATTTGGTCCAGATCCAACCATGTCCTCTCTTACAGCTGCATCCTTCTCCATTACTATAAGTGGGACAGGGGAGACAGTGACCAGAAGAAGTCGCCCCTTCTAGCCGCACCATCCCGAGAGGACAATTGATACATTTTCCAAGATCTGAACTGAAGAATGCGTAACCCTGGCAAATGCAGTGTGAGAGACCAGTAGGGGACTGGGGAGGGAGTAAGTAGTAGATGAAGGACAGTCCTGGCAGGTGTTCAGATCTTGACTCCAGTTCTGTCCAATAGAGCAGAGTTTCACACAGTGAACAGTCTGAACCATCCTTACAATATACACAGCCGTGAGTTACGCTGTCCCACATGTATCCTTCAACACATTGACAGTCTTCTGACAGAACGGGAGATGTGGCCCCGATAGGACAACGTTTGCAAATTCCTTGTTTTGTGTCTTTGTAGGTGTTCATTGAGCAAGGGTTACACTGCCCCTGGTCAGAGTTCCAGGCCCAGCAATACCCTTTCTGCTCGATTAATTGGTCAGCTTATGAACATATTATTGGCAGAGCCGATCCTGATTCGGTAACGTTTTTCATGAATTATTTCAAGTGATGCTTTCTATTTGTGCATCGGTACAACTGTTACAACATCCAACGAGTACTGAGCATGACGGCTAAAACCTGGAAATATCTATAGAAACCCAACGCATTACCTTCAATGAGTATAATTGGCCTTTCATCATTAACCTTTTCTCAGGATTATAATTGAGTGTTCACTATAAGCTCTGTTTATGATTTAAATATTTAAATAGGTAAAAAGTAAGCTCTTAAGTCTTACTTCGAAGGTAAAGGGATTGAATTACGCAGATGGCAAGCAAAATGAGTATTGTATTTCTTGAAGGCGACTTCTACAACAGATACTGAAAACGGATAGTTGAAACGGAAAACCGTCGAAAGATTTTATTACTGAGAAAAATTCGCGAATCAACCCCATTGTTCTAAATGGTTGATAAAATGGATAATTCAATAATAAATCTAGCAACAGAAAAGGTCATCGTGACTCACTGTAATTTTTGTTCTTATGAGGTCGTTCAAATATTACGTAATCATTTTTTGGAAATTGTTTACCCCCCAACCCCTTCCGTAATCAGTTTTCCACATAGCTATTGTGCCAAAATTGCAAGAGCGAAATCATTTGGAAACCCCCCTTCCCCCTCGGCTGATTAGTATTACATAATATGTGAACGACCCCTATCTGGTATGTGCTTTATTTTATCGGGGGCCTCAGTTCTCGATTTCTGATTTCTAATAATGGTGATTGTGAGTTTAAAAATGTGTATCTAGGACCTAGGTCATTTAGAAACATGAGCATTATGCGTGCGACCTATTTCTACCTCTCGACGATTTTTGAAGCTTGATTATTTAAACTTATGGCGAGATATGGAACCATCACCTTCGTATATTAAATGTTGTACACTTGACTGGATAGAAATTATATTCGTTGATTCAATATCACTATTATATTATTTCAGTCGGCGCCATCTGCAGCTTTCTTCCTCAACAACGGCAATCCTCTATCCTCAACATCTCAGCCAAACCTTTCTAAAGGTTCGTGAATTAATTTACACTGTTTATTCAATAGTTTGTCTAGAGTTGATAGCGCCAAACGCAAATGTTGAAATCATTCCGGGGGTCTTTGTTGAATATTAACGAATATGTGTCAGTTTTAGAGGCAGAAGGGAAGGAGGGAGAGGACCGCACGAAGGATGTGGTGTATGAGAATAGGGAGTACAGAGACAGAGTTTCCCGTGCATCTACTCCCCCCTTGCAGCGAGTATCCCGTGCATCCACTCCCCCCTTGCAGCGACAGTTCGAGGAACCACTTCAGGGTTTCCACGTTGTCAGGCCAAGCTCATTTCAACCCAGGTATATTAACGGATAACAATTTTGATTATTATCAGTATGTTGGAGATAGTAATTAATCTTAATTCAGTGACGCTGTCCAATCTGAATAATGATGTCCTCGGCTAGGGTCCGGTCCCAGTTGTACGAGTGATTTTGCTGATTTTAGACCGTGAATCGCTGCTTTTTTAGTGAGGGTAAAACCATTTATCCTGGATTAACTCAGAGAAATATCCACCACTCCTCCACGAAGCGTGCTGGTCCCCAAAGCCAGAACCCCTGTCTCTTCTCACCACCTGGAGAAGCTGAACTCTGTAGAGACCTTGCTTTGTGAGATCATGTCCCGACTTGACAACTTGGAGTGTTGTTCCAGAAGCAGTGTCAGACCCAACAAAGTCAGACGTAAGTATTTCTGATTGTATTAGCTATGAGTCTAAGACTCTCGGTCAAATCAGTCAGACGAACAGGTGATGATCGAGATGAATGATGTAAACTATAAGTTATAAAAAAGCTGCTGGTTGAGAATAATAAGGGTGACAGCTCATAGTTTTATACTGTTATATTACACATCATAATCAAATACTCCGATTATTCTTTTATATGACAATAGATTATAATATGAGCTTGTTCTATGTGCTACAAAAGAAACCAGAAGCAAGACAAAAGTGTCTCTGAAAATAAGGATATTCCGGGAACAGCGTCAGATCAGAAAACACTTGTCCATGATCGACAAAAGGACTTCTCTTCTTACAAAGAAAGTAGACAGACTCAACAGGTTTCCAGTAATTAAATTTAATATTATTGATCAGGCCCTGATTATGTTATTGTTATGCTAGTAATATTTTTATGATTTCTTAAAGTAGAAAAACGATTGGTTCCAGAAAAACAAAAGGAATGTTATTGAAATTCCCATGTTGTGAAAACTCAAGACCCAGAAAATGATAATAATCGATAGTTCAACGAATTTACGATTGATTTCGGAGTGATTATTAAGTTACTGCTGCGCCAGCATTCACGTTATTGTCGTCTTAACTGGAACCAATATGGCATGATTATAATAATATAATATTATCGAACTTCAATTAAAAACTTTTAGAACATTGTCTCTGGCTAGCTTACAGTTCACACTTAAACTTCATTTCAGTCAGACACGAATTGGAAAAGAAAGACCCCAACAGTTAGACGAAATCCTGAAATTTCTTCAAATTGAGGTGAGTTCAACTCAATTCATGAAAATCTAATAATATTTGATAACATGAAGAAGTTATGAGTGTTTTAAAAGAGCTAAAAATGTTTATCAAGGATTTCAGAGGTATATTGGAAAGAGAACATGTATCCAGGGACGACTTTTTCCTCCTAAACAAGCCAGATCTCAAAGAGATGGGTTTTCCACTTGGTGTCAGAAGAAGAATTCTAAATTACATCCGAAACTGAAACTGCTGACCAGTCCACCTCCAACCTGGAAGTGTAACTGTAAAGCACATAGTAAACATTGCCGATGGCTTCTGACAAGATCAAGGGAAAATGAAATGATATATGCTATCATCAGGATCAGAGATAACTATTAATTTTCATTAGTGCAGATGTAGGCTGATAACGTTTTGAGATATTCATCCGGGTTATTGAATCATATAAAGGATGTAGCTGAGTAGATTTCATGCGGGTTATTGAATCATATGATAGATGTAGCTGAGTAGACTTCATGCTAGGGGGATTTGAAAGAAGCCTGTGAAGCATGATGTCATGATAAATTATGGTTATGTGGATTTGGTATGTCGCATGAGAATTATTGGATCTGGTTGGATTTTTCCATTTGCGATCGTGGTTTACGAATTAACGAAAACAGTACTGTTTTTAATAAAGACCTGTTTCATTTGTCCCACGTAGGTTTATTTCATAAAAATAATGAACAGTCAACACCACTAAAATAAAAAGCGTCTTTTTCAAATATACTGTGGTTGTACTAGTGTCCCGTTGTTTAATATTAGATTCGTAGAATAACATAAGTCCGACGAGAAGTTGACCCCAACTGTCTTCTTATCCAAATCCAATACTCACAGTCATGCATCATCAGCAGGGGTGTAGGAGGAGGGAGGGCAGGGGGGGGGGGGTGGCGACCGCCCCCCATAAAATCTGGAAAAGGGGCGAAAAGGGGCCAACTTTTTCAAGTAAATTAGCAGGATACGATCCAGCTGTGAGCTGGCATGAACCAGAAATCTGATAATTTATATTACATATTCCGATATTACATGTCAGGATTCATCAGAAGTTCAGGAACCTAGCGATTATAAAATTCAGATAACATTAGTACAGTCAAATCCGTCCTAATTTAAGCCTTTGTCGGACAAAATTCGCAACAAAGCGATTTTAACGGGATATGGTCGGGACAGGTCCCAGGAATCATTCCAGAGAGTTCCCAAAAAAAAAGACTTCAGGAAAATCCACAATTACCACTTTTTTACCACCTTTTTACCACTTTGGTTTTCCGCAAATAAGTCACGTTCTGAATATCCTAGAAGATTCTAGTTTAAAGCATTGTGTTTAGAAAAGAAAGAAGAACAACTTTTTCTTTAACAACTTTTTCAAACAAAAATTATTTAATTAATTAATTAAATAATTAATAAATTTTCAAATATTTCAAAAATATATTTTCATAAAAAATGTTCACAATTACATTCCACGTATATTGAACTAATTTTTATAAAAATTTTGAAAATTTTCACTTTCAATATTTTGGACTTGTAAAATTTTCGAAATTTGTGAAGAAAAACCACTATTTACCACTTTTTACCACATCGAATTACCGCTAATAAAACGACTTCTGACTGTCGTAGAAGGTTCTAGATTAAACCAATGTGTTCAAAATATAAAAGAGAACAAGTTTTTATGTGACAACCTTTGGATTAGATAATTAATTAATTAAATAATAATTAAATTTTCAAAAATTTCAAAATATAATTTTTATCAACAAATTTGCCGTGACGTAAAATGAATTTACTTGGATAACAGAACAAACACCGTAACATAGATTAGATAACAGATAAAAAGAGATGTAGATAAATGGAATAAACGGTAAAATATCCAAATTAGTACGATACTATTATAGCTAATAACTATTTACACATCATCTCTCGACTTAGTGTTGCGCTTTTAAACTAGATTGTTAAACTGGTTTGTTTGGAAGCTTAAGCTTCCACTTTTAATTTATGTTGACTTCTCTTCGTCGAAAAGTTGAATCTGCTAAAAATCGAGGACTGGAATCACTCGAAATAGTCGATATTTTGAGTTCAGAAGAGCACATCGTGTGCCTGATACTGTATGCGTGCAGATTTTATGTAAGTAGCTGTCAACTAATAGTAAAATATTTTTACCGTTTTACTTTTAAGTTTGATTTCAGCGGAGAGCACAACTAGAGGCATTTTTAACCAATACAATATTTTAATTTACAGGCAAATGAGCAGTTAATTTCGGTGAATAGCTTTAAGAGGGCGAATGATAGACAAAGTAAATTTGTATGGAATGAAATATGGAAAGGGTTGCTGTCCCCAGGTACTATTTTAACTATTTATCTTTTAAGTAAGTGCACTAACCTTTAAACTATGCCCAGCAAATTTGAAACGGATAGTTACAGTCCTATTCTTTATCCTGACGCCTCTCATACTCTGTATAAATAAACAAATCATCGCACCACAGGTTGGATCAACAACCCATGGTCACTGAACGAAATTAAACAGCAGTACAACGGCCTGACTGATTCAGCTCAGAGTGACGTCTTGTGTGTACTATTGCAGACAGTGACCATAGTCCAATTCCGAAGATTCATATCAGCCAATGAAGAGGAGTCCGTTGTAACCGAGGCAGGACCATCTTTAGTCCACGAACACAGTTTAAACAAATGTCCATTCTGTAACGTAGAGATCGAACCAAATGATAAATCCTCGAATCGGGTTACAGACAGGGTAAGTTATTGTGTGGGGGAGGGGGGAGGTAGTATAGTACACATACGTTAGGCTCTTACTAATTCGCTCGCCCAAAATTTCACGTTACTTTCCCCGTAGCTTAGTGCACTAGATTGCCACTATCGGAATCGTTCTGAATAGCCGATCCTTACCAATACAACACCATGGATCCGACTGGTGGTATCTGATCCAGTGAAAGCGTGGCACAGAAATCGTACAGAAAGCCCAATTACGGGATCCTAGCACCCTGTCACGTGATTAGCGATTAGGTAATCATTGATACCCCAATCAATTTCGCTAACGAGATAAACAAATTGCTTGATAACTTCGTCATTTTCAATCCGTTTCGCAGGGGATTGCAGCAGTATTGTTGCACTTACCAAGTGACACTGATTTCAAAGTTGGTGACTATCTACACACGAAGTGCAGAAGAAATATGACACGTCGCCCCCCAACTGAACCTGCATTGGAGCGTACTGTAGTAACGAGAGCTCAAGTCGATACATTTGATTATGCAAATTGCTGTGTATTCTGTGGGCGCCGGACAGTCTTGGACGCTAGGAATCCTAATAAAGATACTTACTGTTTGATAGAAACACTCGACTGTGCAGCTAACATCAATAGTGTTATTGAGCATCGCAATGACGATTGGAGTGCAGAGGTATAGACCGATTTTAAATGGCTTCATAAGATACCTACTTCTATATTATAACACTAATAGTACAAAATATCGGAATGGATTGAAACTTAATTTTAAAACATACTTCGTCTTCACAGTATAGTATAGGTTTCGTCCAATCAAGTTAACATCCTCCAGGTAAAAGCGAGAGTTCCAGTTGGCATTGATTTGCCAGCAGCTGAAGGCCGCTATCACAGGAAATGTTTCCAGTCGTTTTTCAAGGATCGAGAGAAGCCCCGTTTCGACAAGACATCTACACCAATTTCGAAGAGGGGTAGAAATGTAGATGAGCTGAAAAGTAACACACTAAATGCAGTGATACTTGAACTAGAGGGGTCCAACGATGGTGTCAAGTCTATGAACGATATTGCCAAGACTCTCGAAGAGAACGTGGAAACTTATTCGACTCGTCACATCCAGAGAAAGCTAAGGGAACACTTTGGAAATAATGGGGTTAAATTTGTAGGTAAGATGCCACATGTAAACCGTATAATAAAAAAACTATATCCTAGGTTAAAAGTAGGTTTACATTCTAAATCCATTTTTCAGATCTTATGCATACTATTTTATAACATACAAATTTCCTTTCCTTAGATGGGCTGGTTGTGGTGACAGATAGGACAACCAAGATAATAAAAGACTACCACACCCATAATAGTCGAGACAAACAGAAACTTATAAATGCGGCAGCAGATACGATCCTTGAGGAGACAAGAGTTTGGCTGCTGGATTCCGATAATCTCCGTAAAGAGACGTCTTATCCTGACATCGCTAATCTAGATATCAACAGCTTAACGAATGGTATTATTAGTTTGACAATAGTATAGTACGCTTTTCCTATGATTTTCATGAGTAGTATAATTGGGAGAATCTATAGCTTTCTAGTTCTACCTCGATTGTACGGAAAATAATTTAATTCACGCTTCAGATTTACCACCACTCCTCAAGTCATTGGTAAAGAAGTTCATCCGGACAGGTGTTAAGTCAGAGGCAAAGCTTGTTGCAAGCTGTCATATGTTAGTTCAGTCAGCATTTCCAGGGCTGGCAATGATGCCTGTTCCCTTGGCTCTTGGTGTTGCAATGCACCACCATTTTTCATCCAGATTTTTGATAGATATTCTTAATTCGATGGGATATAGTGCACCATACACAACCGTGCTGGATTTTGAAAAATCTTCTGCCTTAACACAATCTTCGACGACCTTGGACGTTTTTAGTAGAAATTGCCAATTTATTGCAGACAATCTCGATGATAATCCGGAAACTATTGACGGGAAGAACAGCGTACATGTTATGGCTATCATGAAGGTTGTAACATGGATGTGGTAAATAGTGGTTTTTCTTCACAAATTTCGAAAATTTTACAAGTCCAAAATATTGAAAGTGAAAATTTTCAAATTTTTTATAAAATTTAGTTCAATATACGTGGAATGTAATTGTGAACATTTTTTATGAAAATATATTTTTGAAATATTTGAAAATTTATTAATTATTTAATTAATTAATTAAATAATTTTTGTTTGAAAAAGTTGTTAAAGAAAAAGTTGTTCTTCTTTCTTTTCTAAACACAATGCTTTAAACTAGAATCTCATAGGATATTCAGAACGTGACTTATTTGCGGAAAACCAAAGTGGTAAAAAGGTGGTAAAAAAGTGGTAATTGTGGATTTTCCTGAAGTCTTTTTTTTTGGGAACTCTCTGGAATGATTCCTGGGACATGTCCCGACCATATCCCGTTAAAATCGCTTTGTTGCGAATTTTGTCCGACAAAAAGACGGATTTGACTGTACTACATTGCTGGTTACTCTTCTATGCCGTGTTCAGTATTTTCAATACCAGAATATTTCAATGAACCAGAAATCTGTTAATTTATATTACATATTCTGATATTAAACGGGTAGCTGATTTTGATAAAATAAAATCGTGATCCGGCGTGATCAATTATTTTAATAGAAGTACAACGGCTGCACCCCTGACTTTTTAACTTAATAAGAGACGTATATATTAGGACATTTGTAATTTGATAAAATTTAAAATTTTGGTGTGTGAATTAGAGGTCTTTAAAACAAAACATATTACATGTCAGGATTCATCAGAAGTTCAGAAGCCTAGCGATTATAAAATTCAGATAACATTACTGATTACTCTTTTATGCCGTGGGAGTAAATTAGCAGGACACAGTGGCCCTCGGGTCTTTAAAACAAAACATATTACATGTCTGGATTCATCAGAAGTTCAGAAGCCTAGCGAGTATAAAATTCAGGTAACATTACTGATTTGTGATTACTCTTTTATGCCGTGGGAGTAAATTAGTAGGACACAGTTTGCCTCTTGTAGTCCGAATTTACATAACCTCATTGCTAGAATTCGTTCCTTAAAACAAATTTTCCAAGAATTGTTCCAGTTTCTCCCTCCTTGCATGTTGTACCCTCTTTGAGAGTGAGACCTATAACTGTAAGAATATTTTTCAAAATTTGCAGGACTTTTCCTTTGACCCTTAATGCTTAGTTAAATTGGCACAACAAAATCTTTCTGGATTTATCTTTTCACATTGCTAGATTTCAATTCTGGAAGCAAATTTCCTGAAATTATTTTCCAGAGAATACAATATGCATCCCTTTTTCGAACTACACTTATTTCGCAAGAGCTGCTTGCAGACCCTAATAATTAATAAGCATTTTTTTTTTTTTTTATCTCAACTCTTATTTTACTTCGGACATTCCAACAGCCACATTGTTACACAAGTGTGTAACCAGCCAATTACAGGAAGCCGAAGGATTCAATTATACATTAGGCCAGTGACGGTTAAGGTAGTGTGTACCATACTTTCTTCGCCCGAGACTTTGCTGCAATGGGCAGCTCCTCATTTAACCCTCACACCCGATTTCTCGAGTATTTGGCTGAGTGGACCGGGGGGCTGCATAGACCACTCAGGATCCTTAGCTGAGCGTCGACGACGCTCACCCCACGGCTAGTGACAGAGTCGGGAATCGAACCTGGTAAATCGTATTATTTTAATTATTCTTGAAACTGTGTTTGAAAATGATCTCTATATTGCCAAATTGCTCAGCTAGGCCTTTATTTACACGTTTTGCTGTTTTTGAAATTCAGGCTGTGGCCAAAGCGCGTGCTAAATTAGAAAAACTCTAAGATTTTGGCCCCCTCATGAAGAAAATCATTCCTACACTAGTAGAGGCTCTTACGGGCTTTTTCTGCTTGATACACTAAAATCACCAGACCCATCTTAAAAGACGTATTTTTGACCGTAGAATCGATTAAAAGTGGTTAGAAGTGTTTAAAATGGGGGTTACCTGGTTTTATTTTGAAAAAACCGATTTTTGGCCCCAAAAATGGCCATTTTTTGAGGTTTTTTAGAAATTTCGACAGGTTAATTCAATCGAAAAGCTTAAATATTTTGGGTTCTTGTACATTTTTATTTGCCGCACTAGCTTATACCAATATAATAAGCACACACAAGAGTTTACCTGGTCAAAATTTTAAAAAACCTCCCAAAAAAAATGTTTTTTTGCGCGCTAAATTTTTTCGGCTCTTTATACATCCACAATGAAATATTTTTGCCCACAAAGTGTTTTAATACTGTTCAATAATAGTTTTTCAGCGTCAAAACAATTTTTGAAAGCGGAAGAAAAAATTATATTTTTCGTGGTGCTGAGCACTTTGAAAATTTTTGAATAAAATCGAGCGCTACCGTAAAATTTTAGTAACCCTTCCCTGAAACTCATTTAAGTTTTTGTACCGGTAGTGTTTTGTCCTTTTCTGAAGTTCATGCCTTCTCTGGCTTAATTTCATTTAATATTGTTTAATACAGTACAGTTAAGTGTTTTATAATAGTAGAGTGGCATTTCTAATACTTCAATGTTATATTGTTGAGATACCTTTACTTGGCTGATTACCTTTTGTCAATTCAGTTAATACAATTTCACCAATTTAGTATTGCATTGCTTATATGACTATTTGGATTTATAATTTATCGATTGTGGGTATGAATAAACTTTTGGTTCACAATCAACAATATAATGTCTACTGTGTGGTACCCTTACAAGATTAATTATAGATCTTTTGACAGGAATGCCTGACTTAAACCCCCTCATCCATCACTTATTCCGTGCTGCCTGTTGGATGGGGAGTAATCCTACCACAAACTGAAATATTGTTAAAGTACCCTTCAGTACACATATAGGGCACTGTAAATAATGTAGATTAATTACTGCTATCTTCTCAATGCAATTTTGAATACATGTCAGGAACACCTGACTTAAACCCCCTTATCCATCACTCATTCAGTGTTGCCTGTTGGATATGGAGGAAATCTACACCACAATGTGGAATATTGTAAAGGCACTCTTCAGTACACATAAAATAGAGCACGGTAAATAATATAGATTAGTTGCTGCTATCTTCTTAACATGATTTTGAATTTATAAATAATAGTAGAGTCAATGTCAGGAATGCCTGACTTAAACCCCCTCATCCATCACTAATTTCGAATAAATGTATAGATGCTGCATTGAATTCATGAAGATATCATTCGTTTTGAGCAATCATTCTCTTAGCTCCCCCGTTCTTTGATTGTTTCAAAGAAGTAGTCAAACTACAATATGTATTGTTTAGTTACATCTATTGCCAAGTTATTTAAGCCATTTCATCTCTAGTAGATTCAAATAATTTCTGTAATTCTGAATTATGTTGCTGAACAAACTTCTATCTTCTTAACATGATTTTAAGTAAATGTCAGGAATGCCTGACTTAAAGCCCCTTATCCATCATGTCTTTCATTCCGTTTTGCCTGTTGGATGTGGAAGAACTCTACCACAAACTGGAATATTGTAAAAGTACCCTTCAGTACACACATAGAGCACTGTAAATAATATAAATTAGTTGTTATTTAAGCTGTGTCATCTCTAATATAGAATTTCTTTAATTCTGAATTATGTTGCTGAACAAACTTGACAATCACCATTAGAAAGAAAGTGACATGTTTATGGACCCAGAACTAGCTAAGACAGTTCTCTGTGTACATGCGGATCACTTCAAGAATCTTCTCGATGAAAGAAGCTCGTATGGTTTGTTAAAAGACTTCGATCCGCTCACAGCCATGCAGATTAAGACGAATTTAGATCGACATCATTGTGATAACACTGAAAACTCAGATGGTTTGATTTTCAGCTAAATTATCATAATTATTATAATTAATTATACAGGCTCATAATGTTAAATTTCACAAACTGAATCTGAATAAGTTGTAATTTTAACTCAATCTAATACTGTTCAAACAGCTTTGTTGGATGATATTATCAATGCTGTGTAAGTTTAAACCTTTTATAATGAGAGGTACATAAACAAACCTATATTTAACAATACTACATTCCAGCTTGGAACAAAATGAGTGAAGTAGAACAACGCCCTGTTTATCGAGACTACATCAATCAACTTGTCGGCTATGCAGGTCATTAATATTATTATGCTTTTAACAATATCTATTGTGAAATACATGACGAAGGGTTGAAAATGTACAGTAACAATAATATAAGTTGCAAATACACAATATTATATGAACGACCCTTTATAGGCTCTATAAGTTTTGAATAATGATTACTGCAGGGTTTCAAGATGTACAAGGCATCATATCGAAGATTTCATACGCCCGAAAGAAGGCCAAATCCGATTTGGCTCTCTGGGTGTATGGAAAGCTCTCAACCTTCGAGAAAAGGACTGTTCAAAGGAACACTCAAATCCCTCCGACAGGTTTCTTGAATTTGTTGTTTTCTTGTAATTATTATACACAATAATTTAGTCTACACTACATTACGTCAAATTACCTACTATAATAAAGAACTAATATTTTTGTGTTAGCCAAGTTGAATGTGACTAAATTTTGGTGGACTTTTAGAATTTGAACGTTATATCTATCATTTTCATCTTCCATCTCATATTATATACTAAATATTCAAATAAACAGACAAAGTTAAGCTCTCGAGGCTCTCTGGTGGCGACATAAAAGTGCTTTCTCAGTACTTTCACTCGCTTTTGGACAAATCCAGTGAGTTACATTTTTATGTCATGCTTTTTAAAACTTTATTCATAAGTTTATGATTCATCAAAAGTGGCTCAAGAAGGGTAGACAGACGTAACAATTTTGAATTTGTAGAAGTTAAGTTTATGCATTGATAAAAACTATTTAAAAAATATCATTATTTTGCTGTAGGGTATACAAAAATGTGACCATACATCAATCTTCAGAGTGCTGTATCTGTACTCGAATAGAAATAAAGGATTTTAATGAAACAGTTTTCTTCCACTCTGAAAGTGAACGGATGACAAAACAGTCGAGAGAATTCCTCGCCCTGCTTCAGAAGATCAATCCTGGGTTGTGCCCACCAAAGCAAACATCATGTGTGTGTATTCAGTGTCTGAACGATGTGAAAGACAACTATGACAGGGTGAGTGGTTTCCTCCTGTGTAACTAACACTTTAAAACAATATTATTTAAAGTTAATTAGACAGATAGCGAGTAGTAATTTTTTATCCATTTCTATTGGATTTGCAAACTATTTACATAATGTATTTCTCTTTAAGTGTGATATCAAGCTTATGTCACATGGTATTATTGATATAAACGTGGGAAGTTATCGAGGATTTGCAGGTGAACACTGCTGTTTCTAAGATTGACGAATCCTCTTGGGATGAAGAAACTATTGCCATCCAAGTGGAAAAAGTCCCGCCTTTTTCACCCCCCTCAAGTAGACCTCAGACCATGTGGAGACCTTCCTCATTTAGTTCCCAATCAAGTGGACCAGATGTTGATATGTTTGAAATGGACTGGGACTTGTGCTTCATATGCCAGATCGATCAGGTTTGTGTGAAACTTTTGCTCGCAAATATAATTATTATAATATTATTTCAATTTAATTATAAGAGTATGAGAGGCCATGTTAGTCTTCTTTTACAATACGAATTTCCCTAGACGTTAGAAACGAAAAAGGATAGTCTGATTCAAGGAAAAGATGAAAGTTTCTTCGTCGATTTCGCAACATGCTATCTGTGGATGTACAGAAATCGTCCGGATCTGTGCAACATTGATGTTAATCCTGATGCGCATATGAATAATTGCCCTGTTCTTACCCCTGAGAGTCTTGGAAAATATCTCTTTAGCAAGCTAGGTAGATATCACAAATCGTGTCGTGTGAGGTACAGCAACTCTAGAGTGAACAAAGAGAAGGGTAAAGTATCTGTAAGTTTGAAACCTGCCTCTAAGGCTGCTAAAAGGGAAAGACACGTGTCTGCGCACGACAACACCAATGCTGCATTAATGAGTGCTGGTATTGACACTGTACGGACCTTTTTACTGGAGCAGGAGAAGTTTTCACCAGAACTTTACCGCGTGTCTGACCTGCAGCTTAAGTACAATGACTATGTGACGTCTAATCTACCTGAGAACACCGCAAGCTCCAGCAATGTTTTATCTGATCACATCACTAAGTTTTCAGAGAAACTTGCGGAAGCAATCCCTGGACTAAAACGATTCACTGTTGGTAAGACGTGTTATGTGTGTTTCGACAGCATGATCGTTGCTAGTCTTGCCGCAACAATAGATGCGGAGATGAATAGAGATGATGACACGTTATCAAAGACAGCACTTATAAAGGAGATCAGAAAAGAACTCTTTCGATATAGAAACGAATTCGTAGGCAGGTTTGATGCATCAATTCTCTCGAACACTCCTTCTCGACATTTACGAGCTCTGTTGAATGAGATTCTGGACGGAGATGAAGACTCGATATCAAAAGAAGCGGATATGGTTACAGATATCATCCAATTCAACTGTCGGGGGATTTTTAAAAGTAAAAGAAAGGTATGACAATTCCTCAATATCAGTTTATCCTCTTTGTAAATGGTGTGAGCATACAGCTGACATAGTTTAATTCGTTTGTATGTGAAGCTGATTATCTTGATTAATGCTGAAGTTAAAACTAATAAAAAGTATCTAAAAGCGTTTTTGGTTCTATCGTGCTTATTTTATTAATTGTAACGTCAGCATTGATATTATGCTTTCCGCGTCAAAGAATGGCGTTTGTCACTTTATCACAAACACTAATTATGAAAAATATTTCAGACAAGTTTCAGAAAGAAAAATCCCATGAAGGAAACGCCTCAGTTCCAGTACATATCTCTGCATTTGTACGGCATTATTCCGTCGCGAACACTGTTTGATTTTATTTACAGTAATGGATTGGTGCTGAACTACCAAAGGGTAAGAGTTAAGACATGGTTTAGTTTATGGCAAACCAACAAACTCTATGTTAATATAAATATGTAGCATTGCGACAATTCTGCAATCCATTTCAAATTATGGATATCCAATTTCACATTTTATAACAATTTATAATGATCTTCAGATACGGGAGTTAATCAACATTCTTGTCGCCACTTCTTTGGAACAGTTCAACGAAGATGGTGCAGTAGTGCCACTCAACCTCAGATTAAAACTGTTCCTTATTGGTGTGAAAGACAACCTGGATAAACATGCTCTCAGTACAACTGGTCGAGAGGGCTTTCATGGCACTACCGTTAGCTTGTTTCAGCAACCTACCAGAGGTTAGATCATTTGGCGCAATAATTATCAATAAAGAAATTTTGTTTAGCTAGATCATGCATTTCTTAAAACTGGTTAATACGTATTTAAACCTATTTTATCGTAATATAGCATTGATTTTTTCTAATATTTCTGAACTCAACTAGTCATTGCTAATTTACTGTAACCTACAGATAATGTGGGAGAAAAACGATCTCGTCCACAACTATGTCAGGTTGATTCTGAAACAACTTTTGAGGTTCCAGAATTCTTCAGACTGGATTTTGCTGACTTTACTGAAGTTCAACCAAAGAAAACCTATCAGTATTTTGCGCCTTATGAGTGTGATTCGCCACTGATGATGGAGCACGAACAATCCACGAAGAGTTCCTTGGACGAAGAACGGAAGTGGCTGGAGAGTGCTGCCGAAGTTGTGCAAGCAATTCAAGAGCCAGAGAATATCACAATTACAAACGTGGCGTACCATTCTCGGCAGGAGAATGCAGTGGAGCCGCATGAACACCTCACCATAAGTGCGCTCCTGCCTGTCCAGTTTGAAGTCGCTCACACCTTCAAGATGATGCGACACTGCATCGACCTAATAAAAGCCGCCAAGGATGTGCTGAATCCCTCGCAGAAAACAACAGTGGATGTTTCTGATATGCCACTGTATGCTCTTTCGAAGCAGATTCAGTTCACCATACCAGATCAGTACGGCTTACAACTTTACTTACCACTCATGGGAGATCTTCACACGGAGCAGGCAAGCAATTATTTACGTATTATTATCCAAAGTTTTTTGATTTTGGTATCACCGCTCACGTTAAAAATTTTCAGAAATTTGTCAAAAAGAGTAAAATTGCACAGTAACTTGCTCGTGCAACAATAACTGGTGTGTCATTATTATCGGTTTTGTTGCGAGGAGTGTGCTCAATTGCCTCTATTCTCAGTTTGGTTGGATATTGATGTAATACTATACTATTAGCGTTCTCATATTAGCCACAAGCTTTCTAAATTTTAACGTATTAGACAAAGAAAAAGCTCGCAAGTCGCAACTTATTGCAATTATTATAAAATACGAAACACATTGCTCTCAAAGGAAAATCGATATCTTTAAAAATCAGCATACATAATCGGGGTCCAGATTACGTTCATCTCTAACGCAACACTTCCATAATTTTATTGATACAATCAATAAACATATAAATAGAAATGCAACGAAAAATATGATAACATAGTCAATAATCGAAAAATTCCCTAAGGTCGATTTTACATCATAAAAATTTAAGTCAACTTTACTTTCCGTTTTTCTTATTCTTTCGTTGAGGTTTTTGAGTTCTGGAATGGTAGAAATATTCAGAACATCAGATTCGTCAAAACGAAACAGGTCAGTAGAGTTGGCGTCGTAGTGCATGTTTAGGGTGAGCGTGTTGTTGTAAGTACTAGGGTTAAACAAAATCCTAGTACCCACGTGCACTGCCTGGTTCTCTACAGACCAAGGTATAAAAGTTGCCTTATTGGGCGCGAAATGTTGAAGAGCATGCCCATCTCCGTTGAAGGCTGTTGCTCTTTCTGTCGAAGTAATAAGTACCCCTGTGTTCAACGACTCAAGGTTGTACGGGGAGCAATTGCTCTTCGTGAGCTGACAAGAGGAGCTGAGCGATGAATTTGTCAGGCAAGACAATGACAAGCTCCTCCTGAAAGATTCATCAGAACACAGTCCAAACAATCCTTCTCTGCACCCCTTGAAGCTGAAGAGAGCACCGTCCTCGATAATTATCTGAGACGATTCCCTTACTTTGTAACATTCGTTCTTTTCCACTGGGTAGAAGCCAGTTTGCAGAACCTCGTAAACAGGACTCGGTCTCAGAAGTCGTGGCAAAGTCATAACAAATGAGAATCCTATATATTCGTCACCAAAGTTTTGACACGCTGCCACTGGCAAAAGACGAGCGTGCTTTAGCAACAAAGCTGGGTCTGACACATCACTTCTCCGAACGACGTCATTGTCCGAAATAGAGTCAAACAGTAAGTCGTCGAAGAAGAGATCAGTTAGTTGAAATTGTCCTGCCATGCCCAAAATGCTCAGCTGCCTAATACGATCCTTGTAAGAAGCTACGTCATGTACCTGTTGATGGAATTCTGTGTAGTCATTATAAAAATGTATGGGTCACCCATTCAGTAATGGGAGACCCAGAGTAATAGTGTCAACTGACGAAAAAGCCAGAACAGTTTGAACTTTTTGTTCGATATTCAATATATTGCAATATTTTGTTTAAACTACATAAACGTAAAAGAAACTTGTAATGTAGCTAACCAGGTCCATATACAATGTCTGCACGTCAAACAGGCAGGAATCCAACATAATCTCGTTGTTTAGATATAATTCGAATGTCTCGATTGTCCCTACAAACACTTCACTTGACGTTACCTACGGATGATAATATCAGGCGTCTGTGATATGTTAAATACACTGGTTAATTTTGGTGCCATTTCACTTATCTATTGTACACTCAACAATTGCACGTCAATGTTACCTGTTGTTCGAGAGCTGTTTTAAAGTATGCTTGATTATCCTCGACTTGGTTAAGTTGATCTCTCTTACTTCGGTCCTGTACTTTCATCTTTCTTTCATCTGAAAATTGTAATCAAATTTCAATTGACAAAGTTGTCATAACCCCACTGTAAGCAAGTTTAATTCAATATTTAGAACTTTTTCTGCAGCTTTAGAATAATAGTATAAGAGTTTTAATCATCTTCGACTATAAATTCGTGTATATTTGTGTAACTTACGCAGCATTCGGTTTGTACAGAAATGCGATGTGTTCAAGGCTCGACGAAGGTGTTTTTCGTAAGACTCCCATGCTTCAACACATTTATACCTTGGATTAAATAAGGGTTTATAATTATTATTTTTTCCTATATTCAAGTTTCTTTAAATGTATGCAGTAGAAAAGGGCAGTAATAAAGTTAAGGGCGATAATGTGTTAAATCGTGAAACTCACTTTTTGTGCAGCTCTTTCTGACGAGTTTGAGAAACCATCGCCATCAAAGAACTGATCATTATCTTGCTATCTAGGATAAACTGGGGCGTTTTTAGGTTCGGTATTTTTAGTTTTATCTGCAGACCTACTGTGTTCACTTCTTTATAGCCTGAGATATATAAAGTAAAACATTAATATATCATACAAAAAACAAGCTCGAGTTTGTTTATCTATAAACATAATATCTACTTCATAGTCAGAGATGATGAAACGCCAACTTTGTAATGAATGAATCATTATTTATTGCATTATTGTAACTTTGTAATAATTCCAGTTCTTTTATTTACTTGTGATGTTTCCAATTCTGGTAAGTGCTATCCCTAAATCTGACAGCACGATGATATCGGGGTCTTCATCGGCTTCAACCAACCGTAATAGCAGTATGATGCACATAAACACGGTTAATTTCATCCTTCTGTCAATAAATATAGTTAACTTAAAGGAGTATAATTTCGGCTGTTGTTCACACATTACGTAATAATTTTTTGGAACATCCCCCCCCCCCCCCCCTCCGTAATCAGTTTTACACATAGCTATTGTGTCAAAATAACAATAGTGTAATCATTCGAAACCCCCCCCCCCCTCAGCTGATTACGTAATATGTGAACGACCCCATATTCAGTAGTTTCAGCAAAACAAAAAAGTCTACATAATAAAGAGTAAATCAAGCTAGTATGTTATCAATGTGAATGAAGTAAAGGTCATCTGGTGCAGCGAGTCAACATTAATCGCTAGGCGATTGAACGGCAGCTCGCCAACATAGAAAGTCAATAATTGAGGTACAAAGAGTTAGAATAAAGCAACAAATAAAGAAATAAATACCAAAATCTGTTTATGATATAAATTGTAATCTTCTCCGTCCTTATATACGGAAGGACCCGTGATACAGCTTGCCACCTTTGAATATTTACAAATATCACACGTTTCAATTCAAGCCTCAAGGGCTATATCAGAAGCTATATAAATAGCCATTTATTTTGAGCTGCACGATTTTTAAAGGCTACGGCGTGGTATTTTGCCCTAATTTCAATTTTAGCAATTTGGCAGGTATTGGTTGCTACATCCATATCCAGTTACAAGGCCAATATGATTAGTCGGAATTTGATCAATTTATCAGCCTATTATCTTATTTCGGTTCACGATTTTGTTTATGTAGGATCAAAGCTTGCATCAAAGACTGACCGACATAAAACTTTAAAGGCTACGGCGTGGTATTTTGCCCTAATTTCAATGTTAGCAATCTGGTAGGTATTGTCAGCTATATCCATATCCAGTTACAAGACCAATATGATTAGTCGGAATTTGATCAACTTATCAGCCTATTATCTTATTTTGGTTTTTATTGGGTCTTGTCCGGATGATTATCTAAGAGTGATATTTCCTGGAGTGATGTAATCAAGTTATCTAATGTACCTGGCTGCTGGTTCGTCTCAGGATACAATATAAAAGACTTTATATTGTAGGTTTGTGTATTTAAGAAATGTAAAAGAAACTTACATTACTATTCGATACAAGAGATAATAGGTAATCAGCAGAACTCTTTTAGACTCAACAGCACTCTTTAGAATAATCTGAACTCATAATTGTCCAGTCTTTCGAATAATAAAACAATTTAAATAACTCTAAATTGTCGTACGATAAACTCATGTGATAGTTCTGTTTTTAGAAACGATGACAAATGGTATCGACAGGAGTGAACTTAGAATGAGGTGTTAGGACACATGACTTGTTTGTAAATAAACGACTAGGTTTATGAGTGAAACTATTGGACATTAGTGGACTTGAATTCTGTCTGAGGTAGTTAATGACAGGTACGAAACTAAATGCTGGGAGTTTGGGAGTGTCTATGGTTTGAGGTGCTGAAATTTTGGAATCTAAACGCTACAATTTGAGGAGAAGGTGATTCGTGATAATTTACAACAAACAAAATATGAACTATATAAATACTACTGAGCAATTACCTTAGTAGGATAAAAACTTGATTACATTAAGATTAAAGCTATACTAAATTTCAATCTAATCCTATTCTAATGCCTAAACGAAAATATACCTTCGAATAAAAAGATATTGATAAAAGAAGTAATATGAGTGTTGTTAGTAAGTAAGATTGACATCACGGATCAATGATGAACAATTTGTTTCTTAAACAAATATCTATCGAGATAAAATTTGACTAGTTATAATATTTGATAATATAATCATGATAATAATCTGTTGCTGATATCTGTTATAAACAGAGACATAAATATCTGTTAAAAACAGAGACATAAAACTTTGAACAATTGTTAACAATTTTTAAAACAAAAAATACATGATAAACACTTTAACAGCATTTCTGACAGAAGTTTAGTTTAACCTTTGGGCATAAACATTTGATGCCAATCCAACAAAATAAGGCAACCAAAATTAAACCAGCAGAGATTCCTAGCGGGAGCCCTATTTTTAGTCCCAGGTTCGATCTCTTAGGTACTGTAGCTACAGTATCCTCTGTTCCTGCAATATGTTTAGAATAAGTAAAAGTTGGTCAAAATAAGGTATAAATGATTTCAGTAAAGAATTTGTGCACTATATTGTGCATGGCTAATCTCATATTCACTCGCCTCTCAGAATTAAAGGTTATTCATATCAATTATACATAAAATATAAAATATAAATGGTTCGGGTTATGTTAGTTTACACTTCAAGAGTGCAAGACGACTCTCTCGTATTTGAAATCTCGACTCACCGACTAAGCTTTTACAGCTTACTGTAACCATAATCTTCTTCTTACTACTTAGAAGAAGGGGGAAAGTGGAACTTTCGCATTCCTTCACCACCTCGCATCCTAAAATGAAAACAGTCAGAAAATATACAATTATTTTGTATCATGCAGCATAAGCTCTAGCTAATCCTGAATATATTGGTCTCGATTGAATTATCGGTATACTTTGCTCATCATTTTATTAAGGGGACCTATTTACAGACTTAATAGAACATACTTTATATTTGCTGTATTATAACTTAAGATGGCACTCACCCTCATACTGCGCTTGGAGACCCTCCAGCTCTTCCTTGCTCAGATCTGCGCTGCTCATCCTGACACACTCTTCGAGGTCCTCGTGGGCTGTGTCGGAAATGACGAGCCCGACGAGGACCAGGATCAAAATCAGCTCAGAAATATTCATTATATCAGTTTAAATTAGGTGTGCAAATGATGGTGTAAACTACGGAACTGAACAGGTCACAAGTGCGAGCACTGGTACCCTGTGTCACGTGACGATGTAGCAAGCATTCATGCCTCGTTAGACATCTGCCAGGGTCTAATTACTCCATATAAGGAGAACTGCAGTTGGGTTCATACTGGATCAGAGTCACGTGATAGAAGTAGTTGTCACGTGACCTCATTTCACAGACTATAACAAGCATTCATATCTCGTTAGACGTTTGGCAGGGTTATTCAATATTAGAATAACACTAGAATTTAACCATGGATATGGATCAGAGTCACGTGATACTGATAGAAGCGCTGGAAAGTTAATGTTAATTTAGGGTAATGGATATTAATATTTACTTTACTTTACGTTGGTTAGCTGCAAGGCAGCAGGGTCATATAAAAATATAAAACCACCGTTTTACCTTTACTTCGGACAACCATGGCCAGCACCAGTACTACAGGAACCCGAAGGATCGATAACTAAGGCGATTAAGGTAAATATTACACCACACTTTCTTCGCCCGTGGCTCCGCTGTATAGATCATGTACATCTTCTCATTTGACCCTCACACACGATTTCTGGAGCGTTCGGCTGAGTAGACCGGGGGGCTGCATAGGTCCATCAGAACCCTATTATACACTTTTATTTGCAGTTTACCACGTTTCAAGTCGGATGATATTGGCAAGCATCACATTAACCGCTATATAAATAGCCATTTATTTTGGGCTGCACGATTTTGTTTATGTAGGATCAACAGCACTCTTTAGAATTATCTGAATCGGAACCGCTATATAAATAGCCATTTATTTTGGCTGCACGATTTTGTTTATGTAAGATCAAATTTTAAATCAAAGACTGATCGACATGGTATGAAATATGAAACTACTTTAAAGGCTACGGCATGGTATTTTGCTCAATATCAACTTTAATTTTAGCAGTGTTGGTAGGTATTATCAAATTGTCAAATGAAGATATTGATAAAAGAGTTTATTTAGCCATGGATATAATAGAAATTAAAAATTATGTTACAGAGACCTATGTATTTTGAATGTCGTGATTGACCCTATGTATTTTAGGTCATTCATAACTTAACACAGAAAAGAATTGTAATCAAACAAATTATCTATACCAGATCGGTTCAAAATAAGTATAACTTAAGCTGGTTGATGAATGTAATGTTTGAAATTGGTAGATGTAGCAATGTAATCTATATATATTCTTAGGTTTGCATGCACATTCAGTCTCAGCTCTTGGAGAAAACTGGCTTGGAGGACATTCTCAGTGCTTGTGACATATCTGTAGTTTCACCTTCAAATGCTGTTCTCAGTGTACCTATGATTACACGCGCACGCTACATGATGGAGGTAAATGTTTAGAAGTTGAGCCAGATGACTCCAAAATTATAAATTGTGTCTTTGAACGCAGAATTGTGCGAAGAAATATTTACGAGTCTTACATCCTGAGCCTAATGTTACGTTGATCGTAATGTTATAGACATTACAGTTTTCATATAATGCCAGGTTATTGCGATCACACTAGAAGTTCTCAAAAGGAAAGCATACGAAGATTCGTGCAGTGATGTCGAGATAGATGCCTGGAGTGCTAACTGCTTCTCAAAATATGTCAATTTCGCTTACTGGGAGACGGTTCTAGAATTTCAAATAACAGTCCTGGCTTTTATGAGGTAAAGAAAACAGACAAAAATAGATATGTGTATATATTATTATAAAATTGTGATTTATAATCTGTATAGGGGGCATTTATGCTGTCAATATTGGATACATTATGATCGTTATCTTCCAGGTCAATACGAGAGAGAAATTTCGAGAAGAGTAGGGCTCTGTTGTCAGCACTGACAAAATACTTCTTTGCCCTCGATCACACCAATTACGCTAGATGGACCCCAGTGAGCCTACTTGACTTAGAGAACTTTAAAAAGTTGATTCCAGACGAGTATGAGCAAGTGAAGAATTTCTTCACTGTGACCAAAACTCGATCGAAACATTCTGCCATTGCTTTAGACCAAGCCCATGAGCAGAATAACGCAAAGATAAAGGATATCAAGGGTGGTCTAGCTTTCCTTTGTTCCGACGATAAGACGACACTATTGAAATGGGGTCTTTACAGTCCAGAATTCCTTAGGCTACAGGAGGAATACGAAGCAGCCGTGAACCCTACGGCGCCTCCAACTGATGTAAAGAAACATCATAGTGACTCTGTTACCCACCAAAAGGAGTGTCTAAAGAACATCAAGAAACTTGAAATGGCTGTTGGGGGTGTTTTAAACCCATTCGCTTCGGAATCGTCCACACTACGTTCATTAAGAGATGGAATGGAGATCCCACAGTCAGCTGAGATTGAAAATTCAATCAGGACTCTTAAGGCAGTTGGTAATGAACAGTATAACGAGTATGTAACAGAACGGCTACTCAAACCACTACCTGAGAGGAAGCCTATTACTGACGCTATTCACAAGAACAATCTCATCTTACCCAAAAACAGCAATGCTGCAGAAAAGAAAGGGCAAGGGTTATCAGATCGAGACGAGAAAGCCCTTGTTCGTGATCTGCAAGTTATTGGTCTTCTAAGACCAAATGAAGTTAAAGATGCCCTTAGGTTAACATTCGTTTATTACAACAATTTTACAATCCCAATTATCTAAAATTTGAATTTTTCTGAACAGTTTAATCTATCAGCTATTATTCCGCATTTCAATATTTTGACTTTTCTAAAGATAAGCGATTGAATAGATAAATTAATATGTTATCTTAGTATCAATAAAATAGCCGATTTACGATTCAGGTACGAGCCTAAAGGTTTTCCCTTGGTGTTTATGACGAAAGGAAAAATGTACCAAAACCAAAAGTCAGCAGTACTAGACCGTTTCAAGGCATATAGTGCGAACCTTGAGCGACCTGATGTTGAAGTGGTCGTTGTAGACTTAGCTCACTACCTCTACATGTTTTCAAACAGAACAGGAGTCACGCTCATCAGACATATGTTCAATGTAAGTGCTCTGCTATGCCGCTAATAAGCTCCTTCCTTCTTTCTGAAAAGCCAACACTAAGGTTTCGACGTTTGCGTCAACCCTTCTATTGTGTCAGAAAAACGTGGATTACTCTTCCATTAAATGATAGTTCAGTCCTTAAAAAGTATACTTGTTTTGGAAACTGGATCTGAAGTTTTACCCTGATTTTAAAATTTCTCCTGTTTCAAATTATTATAAAACCGAGAGAAGTTGCAGTTACTGCGGGCCTTCTGTTTGGAATCAGCTTCCTTATCAATTGAGAACATTGACCGATATTGCTTTGTTTAAAAAGAGACTAAACACTCATCTCTTTGGAAAGGTATTCATATAAGTATCATATAATATCTTTAAATTCATTAAAACCATACTTCATAAAAAATAAGTTCTTATTTACATGTTCAAGAGTCGCTTTAGATGGCTTGAACTGAATCTTTAGGTTTTGAGTTTTTTGGCCATAAAGCGATGTATAAATTTATAGTTATTATTATTATCATTATTCACCAGGAGATTTGGAACGCAATTGAATCCTTGGTGCAGAAGCATAAATGCAAGACACTTGCTTTGGTGCAAGATCGGTATGATGTCCCAAATCCACTAAAGGCTCAACGTGGATCCGGTCTTCGCCAGCGTGTGACACTAGACTCCCCGGTTTGTTCACATCATGTGTTGGTAGATTTTATAACAACCGTATTTATAACACTTCTTCAGAAATATTGCATCCATTTAATTGAGCATTCAATCAAACTCCAGAAATCACCTAGATGCGACTTAATCTAATCCGTTTTTTTTCAGGTGCCCAGCCACTTTAGGGAAGATTATATGAAGAATCCTCAGAACAAAGAAGAGCTGTACGAAATGTTCATGACGTTTTTGCATGAACGGTCGTTAGAAAAGGTGGAGATGAGAATCTATGTCACCAAAAACTCTAGAGTTCTCTCAAATAGAGGTCCATCCTTTTTTGAGCCAAGCAACCACATCGAAGCTGACACCCGTGTGGCTCTCTTCGTGAAAGATGCGTTGCAAAAAAACTTCAAGAGAATTCTTGTGAGAACTGGTGACACTGATGTCATATTTATTCTTGTTGGACAGTGTCGAAAGTTTCTGCTGTTGAATAAGAACCTGCAACTCTTTGTTGATATGCACACAAGTTCGTCTAATAAGGGTTCTTCCAGTTACATCGATATAGTGAAAATAGCGACTTCTATTGGAATCAATAGGTCTGTTGGACTACCTCTTCTTCACGCCTACTCTGGATGCGATTATACGCCCAGCTTTTACGGTATTGGAAAATCGAAGTGGTTCGATACATACTTGTTACACCCAGAAGTCATGGACATGTTCACAAGGATTGTGGAGAATCCTGAATCAGTACAAGAAGCAGAAATCGTCAAGATAACACAGTATACCTTAGCTGTGTACGGGGTGGATGATCCTAAAAAAGGCCTGCTAGAGGGCAGATTTGATCGACTTACTTCAAAGAAAATTAACACCTTTCGTTCGCTGCCGCCATCACCTGGTGCTGCAATCATCCAATTCCGTAAAGCTGTTCATATTGCAGCACATATCTGGGGCAAAGCGTGTGAACCTGAAATAACTCCGCCAGATATGTGCAGCCCACTACAAGGGTGGAAGAAGGTCGGCGAGAACGTGGAACACATTTGGACTGTAACACCTGAGCCAACTGACAAGGATCGCTACGCTTGCTGCAAGAAGACATGTGGTTGCAGAAGAAAGCAGGACATTTGTCAAGGAAGATGCTCCTGTCGTGATGCAGACATGCCTTGTCTTTATTTATGTAAATGCAGAAGGAAATGTGCAAGTTAACGTCTTATATCAACGTTGATCCAAAATGTATATATAGGAAAACCTATTAACAATTAATATTGTAACCTTGATGCCTGCATCATAAAGATTTATTTTGAAAATGATAAAATTAGGACACTCTAATATATTTCTAACCCTTTTTCGAACAGCTTTCCATGTCCAGTCCACATTAAGCCTTATTTCAAGGGAAAAAGTTGATTTTAGATATTATTATTCATATTTGATAGTAATACGTGAATCGTAAGAAGATTTATCTTCAAAAACATGTTCGATTTACTGATTAGATCGGTGGCATCTGTAGAATATAGTGTTTATGTGGATCAATCTGTTAAAGCAGGGCTACTGTATCATTTTAACATTAATTTTGCATAGTGACGATACATTTATTCTGCCTCCTGTAATTATCTATTTCTCCAGTACAGTGTTACGGTACCACGAGGTTTTTAGCGCGGATATCGTGCTAGATACGGCACGCGCGGCAACCGAATCAGATTTAAGTGCAATTTTTTCATTGTAAACACTACATACAACGCGCAACACGTTCTACGAGGTCTAAATTTTTGAGGTCTGTAACACTGGAATGGAGCAATATTTAGACGATCTGACACTTTCTGGGGCCTAAGCAACCTAAGAGAAATTAGGGGAACAACTCAGAACAAATTTTTAGTCGAAATTCTGGTGTCTGTCGATGTCCGAAGTTTTGGCAGTAAAGTGATCACAACACAGCTTCTGAAGGCACTAGAAGGTTCCCGATACCGTCAGAGTGTTCAGTACACTCCATTCTATCATATAAAAACCCTAAAAGAAGTCCCAGGGCTCGAGCAAAAAAGCGTGATATTTGCCCGTAAGAGCCTCTACTACTACACAGTAATAAGATAACGTTTGGCCAGCATGTTAATTAATGGTCGATAATATAAACTGATAATAATGGTCAAACCAATAAAAACCTACATAGTGTTCATGTGATATTCTTATTCATTATATTGTAGTCATCTAGATCATGTTGACTTAATTAAGACATGAATAATTAATTTAACAAAATGAACCTAGGTCGAGTTAAACATGAGCAAGAAACAAAATTTAATTTTTACTCTATGCGATCTTCAAGCAATCTTGGATTGAAAAAGTAAAATCTGTTAGCGAAATTTACATCAGCTATTATGGTTTAAAAATTTAAAATCTTTCAACCAGAACCACAATTGCACGAACCAATTTGATTTAAGCGGCAAACAATTAATTATCACAGTAATAAGAATAAGATAACGTTTGACCAGTCAAATGGTCGATAATATAAACTGATAATAATGGTCAAACCAATAAAAACCTCCATAATGTTTATGTGATATTATTATTCATTATTTTGACGCCTAGATCATGTTTACTTAATAGTTAATTAAGACATGAATACTTTTTAACAAAATGATCCTAGGTCGAATTAAACATGAGCAAGAAACAAAATTTAATTTTTACCCTGTGCGATCTTCAAGTAATCTGGGATTGAAAAAGTAAAATTTTTCAGTGAACTTTACATCAGTTATTATGGTTTAAAACTTTAAAATCTTCCTATGCACTGATCCTTACCGGGGTTCATGCTATCTTAATCATTATTAGCCGAAAATATTTTTTCGATTTTCGCAGTCCGCACCTACCCTTCGATATACGATTTTGGACTCGAGGGTTCCCCCTTGTAATGCGATCTCGGAAGACAGGCCTTCCTTTTGCAGTGCGAGCTCGGAAGTGGGAGCTCTGCCTTCAGAGGTACGTATCGAGGATGACTCGGACCGAAAATTGTCAAAATCAAAAATTTTAAAAGTCTTCTTTTAGTAAACAATTTTAAAGTGGTTTTCCTGGAAACCACTTTTCTCCAGTGTTCATGTTACTCTGATCATTATAAGCCAAAAGTTTTTTCGGGACCTAGCCCTCGAGAATTTTTCCTGAAAATTAATGAAATTTCTGATTGATATCCGGCCAAGCTAAGCACCTTCTTAACTACTTACTATATATATAGCAGGATATCCGATCGATTTCTAAATTGTAATTGTATCACTACCAGAGTGAAATTGAGAGGAATTTGAATTGCAAAATAGTCTAATTGATTCTAGTAGCCTGGTATGCGAAAACAAACAAGCTGCCACATACGTAATTCGATGATCAAAATTCATGGCATAAAATGGAGAATTACCCAAGGGTTTTTCCATTTTCTCCATAGAAAAAGTCTCCATTTTATGCCATTGCCCCCCCCCCCCCCCCCTCCCCGTCTGATTGATTGAGACAGTGGCTTTTTATTTAGAGATTCTGTCTTAACAAATTCCGGCTATGGTATATTTTACTGCATTACGATTTACCTCTCGTAAACGGGTAATGGTACTTCATAGAAAACAAAAACAATTCATTTTCTTGCGCTTGATTATCCTTTATTAGTTGGTGTTCTTTTGTAATCTGATTTTTAAATCTGCAGTTCTTTTGTAATTCAGAATTTGATTCAGATAGGAAAATTTCATTAACGTACCAATCATTTATTTAAACGAATCAAAGCCGTTTTTATTTTTAAATCTTAGGGAAACTGAGCCTTTTGATTTTCATTAAAATATCAATGTTAGTCGTTAGACATTGCTATTTCGAACTAAGGACTGTCGCCATTAAACCTTAGAACTACCAGTACCAGTAACGTTTTACAGAATGAAGTTTCGACAGAAACTTTATTCAAAAATCACATCCTAGCAAGACTTATGAAGCACCCTGTTCAACAAATTTCTATCATGCTAATTAGTAATCATAAATCAGTCACTGCGTTTTGAATACGGGTCTTGGCACTTAGAGTAAGCGTCCGCCGTTTCTTCAATCCTCCTATTTCATATATATTAACTCAGGCGTAAGTCATGGAGAAAGAAGAAGTGACCATGACAAAAATTGAACTCACAAATGGGACGCTCGAAGAGGAAAGTGAGAAAAAGAAAGAGACAAAGAAACCAAATTGGCAGGGAGCTGTGATAGAGGATAAAAGTGTGTGGTTTGCAGCTAAATGTGGCTCCTGGGATGCGGCTCAAGTCAGGTTAACATAATATTTGTATATTCCGTGTAATAATTGATGAGAAGAGGCAGAAACTTAATTGAAGTCTCCCATACGATCCTACTAAATTTAGTTCACATATTTTTCTAAAAACATATTTTACAAATCCGAAAGTCGGCTGTTTTAATTGGTTTTTTTTTCCGTTATGTAATTACAAAAATCTTCAGGTTTAACCCGATAGTATCTATCATATCATTTCTACTGATCCTTGGGTTTGTTACGTACTGTATTGTTGATACGGCGAAGGCTCTGGCATCTTTCAAGGAAGCTAAATTCATGGTCGCCAAAAACTTCACTTGGCTTTACGTTGGCAGTTTCGTAAGTTTTTTGGGTGTTTTGTGGAACCCATTTTGGGTTTATTCTTACTGGTTGAAATAATTTGTTAAGTGAATGGTGGATGGATTAAAGTTAAGTGCATGGAGTTTTGGTTCCGCCGCTTACATCAGATCTTTTTTAATGTGGACGATCACGTTTATAAAATTCTATTTTGTTTGCTTATGTGATAATTTACTATTACTTAACATAATATCTCGATCTGTTATACCCTGACAATGATTATTATCTCACAAGATAACCTTCGAACAGACTTCGTAATTCGGGAAGATAAAATCCTGCACTTGATATCAATGCTCCTAGTGATCAGACGAATTGCATTACCGAACTGACCTGGTGTTACTATGGTGTTACCATGGTGTTACCATGGTGTTACCATGGTGTTACCATGGTGTTACTAGGAGTGACTGACCTGTTCAACTGGATTCCGAGAAACTTCCCCCAATCTAAATCATCCAATTTGGTAAAATTATAACCCCAAAATAAGTATAACGCTAAAAGTTATTAAAAAGATCAAGAAAGTCATTATTTTCAGGACATGTGGGCCCTGGTGTTATTGGCGATCTACTTTAGCAAATACGGGAACCTGAAATTGGGTGAGTTCCCCTAATCTCATTAAATTGCCACGCATCACTTAACATTGTAATTCTTCCGCATTCCGAGAAGTTTCATCGTGAAGTCTAGGTTCGATTTCATGGTTCTGATTAAATGATTTTTGTAATCGAGTCGGTGTTTAATAAGACTGAGCAATTTTACGCGATAAAAGTTTTTACTGGCGTTATTAGTCTATTAATACATTACTACTGTAATTCTGTTATCTTATCAACAAAAACTGTAATTTGAATTTTCACGGTACTTGGTGATTCGAGGTTTTTAAAACAAATCTCCACTCTAATCCGTAGCCTTTTAATTCTAATCCTTGGAGAGGCGTTTCCAGACATAAGAGTTGGCACAGAGCCGCCAGCAAGATTTACCCTCAGTTCCAAACTGGAAATTTGTTCGAGACCGTAAGGTTCAAAAGATATAGACAGGAGATTGAGAATCTTTATAAAGCATGTCCAGGGGTTCATGGCTAATTATAAGTCCCAATAAAAAACACTACCTCTTTCAACTTCCCAAAAGTTTCACTGTAACCTCATGTAGGTTTTCTTGGATTTTAAAATATGGTTTTTGTAATTAAGTTGGTGTTTCATGAGATTGAGCATTTTTTTGCTAACATCTTCCCTAACTGCTGTAATCATTGTTTAACTTTATTGGAGGAATTCTGTGATTAGTGCGCAATTGTCAAAATTCCGTAATTTCACGTCGGTTGGCGATTGGAAGTTTTAAAACAAATATCCCTAGTTGTAAGCCATAATAATTAAACCCTTTGAGAGTCATGTTAAGAGTTGGCATACAGCCAACATTCACCCTCAGTTCCAAATTGCCAATATATATTTTGGTAGTGAAAGTACTAATCTGAGTTATGTATATTATCTAATTTATATGGGAAACAGCCTAGTTGAACAATTCTTTACGCATCGAAATTAATCACGGCTAGAATTTTGAATTGTGCGAAACTATTCGATTCATGCTAAGAAGCAGCTGACAAGGAACAGTACACTTCAGACTTACTTCTCCTTTATATTATGACACTAGCAACTGAGTTTATAGTTGCTAAGCAACTCCATCTCAGGTAAGGATGATGACGAGGTTGAGTACCCTGACGGCTCGTGGTTCTGTATGTTGTTTGCTTGCGGAGTTGGGGTGGGGCTCTTTTTCTACGGGGTGGGAGAACCCATATCTCACTACACTAGTCCCAACAGGTAAACCATAGTAACACCGTAGTAACACCATAGATCATAGTAACACCATAGTAACACCATAGTATCACCATAGTAACACCGTAGTAACACCATAGTTACACCATAGTAACACCATAGTAACACCATAGTAACACCATAGTAACACCATAGTAACACCATAGTAACACCATAGTAACACCATAGCTCACTTCACCGGCCTCAACAGGTTGGGTAGACTCATTCTAGCAAAGATATGGTTTCTAGTAAATATACATCGGTTCGAACTCATTTAAGTTGGATATTTATTGGTATGCGATTATTCAATATTTCAATATAATTTAACTCATCGACATAACTTCAATGCTGTCGGGTATTTGATCTTATGTTATCGGTATAATAATGCAATTTCCGGAGAGAATTATAAATCATATTATTAATGTTGGTTTTTCAGACAGAATGGCACATGTATTAACTTACAAATTGGTTGTAAATAAATTATTGGAAACTGAAATTGATTAAGGGTGTTTTCCGTGGAACTAGAAAGAAAAAGTTGCAACTAAAACCCCCTTTTCTCAGGTACACAGCAGACAGGTACATGCCGGACAACATGGTGGCTCAGGACGCACTGAACCAGACTTTCTACCACTGGGGGTTCCACCCCTGGGTCACATACGGGATTATGGGGATCGTGCTCGCTTTCGTCACCTTCAGGTACTGCGGAACACTCCTAGTAGCACCATGGTAGCTCCATGGTAACACCATGGTAACACCATAGTAACACCATGGTAACACCATAGTAACACCATGGTAACACCATAGTAACACCATGTAGTAATACCATAGTAACACCATAGTAACACCATAGTAACACCATAGTAACACCATAGTAACACCATATTAACACCATAGTAACACCATAGTAACACCATAGTAACACCATATTAACACCATATTAACACCATAGTAACACCATATTAACACCATAGTAACACCATAGTAACACCATAGTAACACCATAGTAACACCATAGTAACACCATATTAACACCATAGTAACACCATAGTAACACCATAGTAACACCATAGTAACACCATAATAACACCATAATAGACTTTTTAACCCTGAAGGATTTTCTCCCCTGGGTTACGTTCAGAGTAATAGACATCACACATTACACAAAATTGCTTTCATTCTTTCAGTGCATCACTGATTTAAAACTGGTGACTTATCTCCTAAGTTCTGGCTGATAAATACGAGTACAATTAATGAGAGTGCCACACGCGATAACGTGATAACATTAACAAAACTAAACAAAAGATAAGCATCTCAGGACAGTGCGCGTGTGGACTGGGATTGGCCATAACGTGTGTCACGTGATTCTGATGATCGACACAGGATTGGTTGCGTAGTTCAATATCAGTTATTGGAGCATATTAGCTTTGAGTTGTCCTTGTGTTGCTATTTCTTTCGGTTGTTTTCAGTGCATCCAACCATATGTGGAGAGTCGTCCTCTGTTTCTATTTTTTTCATGTGCATAAAATATCTAACTAATTTGTGTCGACATTTCGATCGTAAGATTAAGTAAAGGAGAAACGACGAATAAATGCTGACCACAGACAGTGTCCCACTTTAGTTGAGTAGAAAACTGCAGTCAAATGATTTGTCCTAACTTCATTTGCACAAACGGTATGGCAAGAAAAATAGCGAAAATGTCTGTTTACGGCATGTACCTAATCCAACAGGTAATCCAACGAAAGAGTGGAAACAGACTCACTAAATCTGAGATAATAATCGCTTTATGAATGCGTAAGATTTGAGCATGGGCCGCTGTATTAATCTAGTGTAGTCAAGACTTCGATTGTAACACCATAGTAACACCATTAGTTTGGCCGCTGTAATTTAGTGTAGTCAAGACTTCGATTGGCTAAGTCAAAACGTCCAGCCAGTGAGCCAGAAATCTGAGCCAGTTAGCGAAAAATATGAACCAAATAGTACTTTGAGCTGCGGCTCATCAGTCAAGACCTAAGATGAGAAGTACGGACTAATCGTACTTTTCAATTCGACGGATCCATACTTCTCATCTAAGGTCAAGACTCAGACTCACAGATTGCCTGGAAAAATGAGAACTATTTTCTAGCAGGAAAGGACTGCCGAATGATAAGTACTACCATATCTCGGTGAAACTAAATATTAAGTAAGCACCCAAAAACTGTAAAATCGCGAACATACGAACATACTCCTACCAAATCTTAATATTTGAATTATTATCTCCCAGGAAAGGATTGCCGATGACGATGAAGTCTTGTTTCTACCCGCTCATAGGAGACAGGATCTACGGGTGGATGGGGAATGTTATTGACATTATGTCTGTTATTACTACTGTATTTGGGGTGTGCACTTCTCTTGGACTGGGAACCATGCAACTCAACGCTGGTCAGTTCTTTTATATTCTATACTTAAATTATAACTTAAAATACTCACGCTACACTGTGGTTAATATGGTAACTGCTACACTGATAGTTTCCAGTCAACCCACCGCTTTTTATGAGGGACCTCAGACACTTCTATTAAAATATCTGAATCTCTAGTAATTCCACTCCATTAACCCCTGCAACCACTAGTAACCAATAGTAACCACAGTAACTAATAGTAACCACATTAACCACAGTAACCAATAGTAACCAAATTAACCACTAGTAACCACAGTAACCACAGTAACCAATAGTACCCACTAGTAATCATAGTAACCACAGTAACCAATAGTAACCAATAGTAACCACAGTAACCAATAGTAACCACAGTACTACCCCAGGTTTGAACTACATATTCCCGAGTATTGAGAAGAACACTCTGACCCAAGTTCTTATTATCTGGATAGTGATGGCTGTTGCTACAGTGTCCGTCGTGTCCGGTGTGGGTGTGGGGGTCAGACGGCTTAGTGAGATCTGCTTCGGGGTAGGAATGTTCCTTCTCATGGCTACTTTCTTCCTTGATGACAGCTGGTAAACATTAAACAATTCATGGTTTCTCATCTTATTTTTTATCTTTTTTTCTTCTTTAATAAACTCCAGGGTGCCTTTTTGTTCGCTGACAATTCGACATTCAAATATTCCAATTATGAGATCACCCCTGATCCGAAGGCTGCACTTAACCCATAACTATTGTGTGGGAGTTCACAAGTAGCAAGCTTTTCAAAACCTCTCCCTAATGGACAGGGTTACGTTAAGATCCCTATTATTCGCCCCCTCCCTCTAACACATGTTCCTACTGAACCTCTTCTGTGAGACGGTGTAACCACCGTAACCACTAGTAACTACAGTAACCACTAGTAACCACTAGAAACCACTAGTAACCACAGTAACCACTAGTAACCACAGTAACCAGAGTAACCACTAGTAAACACAGTAACCACTAGTAACCACTAGAAACCACTAGTAACTACTAGTAACCACAGTAACCACTAGTAACCACAGTAACCAGAGTAACCACTAGTAATCACTAGTAACCACTAATAACCACTAATAACCACTAGTTACCACTAGTAACCACAGTAACCACAGTACTACGCCCTCTAACACTATGATTACAGGTTCCTCCTAAACCTCTTCTGTCAGACGGTGGGTTATTACATTCAGAACTTTCTTGGGCTGGGTTTCAGAACAGACGCATTTGAGCTGGTCGGTATAAAATCCAGTTTGGAGGGAGATCGGGGCAGGTAGGTCACCCCATTCAATAGCCATCCTACTCATCCTACTCGCATGTTATTTATAGATTGTCTTATCCTTATCAGGCGACAAGGTGCTGCCTTATAAATATGTAGGCTCAGAATCAACGTGTGTGGTATTTGTTATGTCGTATGTGCCGCCTTATCATAATAATTGGGCTATCAGCATGCATGAAATCATATCGCGTAACGAGTTACTAATTATCATAATCATACTCAATATTATATTTACACAATTATAATATTTTTTAACAGCCAAGGTATTATTGCATATTATAATGATCTCATCTCCACAGACTGTATGGCGTTGGGGAGGATGGAGAGGTCCGAGAGGATGGACTAGCTGATGGCCCGCAGGGCTGGATGGACGGCTGGACAATATTCTATTGGGGCTGGTGGGTGTCGTGGTCTCCTTTTGTCGGCATGTTCATCGCTAAGATTTCTAAAGGAAGAACTATTAAAGAATTCATTAACGGTTAGTAATATATAGATTATCCGGATCACAGGAATATAATTCATTTATTTATGAGTGGCATTGTTGTAAGTAATATAATTATACCCGGGAAAATGAATTTTAGTGCACTGTTTGTCTGCATAGTCTAGACCACTACCAATCGCTGCATTATATGCCAAATCCATATCAGCAAGAATTATCCAAGTCAACTTTCACGTTATTACTAGTATAGGTAATAACAGTAGGATTCTCACCTATTGTTACGTTAACTTTCGCGTTATTATACATATATTATTTGACCAAAACCCATAGTCATGGGTAGAGTGGACCGCTGCCAGTGTCTCTCTTTCCCAAACAAAAGGAAATGATATTAATTTGACTGACCGTTCTCAAATGCAAATTCATACCGAGAATGAAATCGGTCGCTCGCTTTTCCTATATTCAATAAGCTTTATTACAATTCGTAAGCCGTGAATGAATGGGAAAAGCGATCAGCGACCGATTTCATTCTCGGTATGAATTTGCATTTGAGAACGGTTAGTCAAATTAATATCATTTCCTTTTGTTTGGGAAAGAGAGACACTGGCAGCGGTCCACTCTACCCATGATTATGGGTTTTGGTCAAATATCATCTCTTTTTGATTGTAATGTCAGAGTATTTTATAAAGTCGAAATATAAACTGATATCTTCATTAATAAGGAGGAAGTTTCAACAATTTCGAAATTTTTCCTTTAAAAACATTTCCTTGTGTTTAGGTAAGCATATCTGTCGAACTATATAATCTATCAAGTTGGCACTAAACTCAAATATAATGTCATTTAACTGTCATGTTACTGTTAAAGCAGGAACTAAATCTAATCGAAATAAAGAGAGTGAAGTTCTCACTTTTTGCAAACTTTGAGCGGACGTTGCGTGCGCATCCAATATCAAATCACCGTAAAATTTTGAATTTTCGTATTTCTTATGTATTTTAATAAGTGTGCAAAGTTTCAGAATATTTTAGCAAGAACTCGCATCACAACGGGACTCCAAAGCTGATAAAAATCGTGAAAATAACAATTTTCAGTGATTTTAGCAATTTTCTATCAATTTGGGCGTGTCCCCACGTGTGCAACTTTTCGATTTTCAACTTTAAAACTAGCCTATAACACAATTTAGACCTTTAAGAAGCAAAATTGAGCTCCACCACCCAAGAGATGGCCCAACACCAGAGAATACTAATTCACAACTTTTGTGTTTTTATAAAATTATTCTTCAAAAAAGCACTAACTTCAATAGCAAATATCTTTATGAAAGAGCAAGGTAGAAACATTTTCCGGTAGATTTTTAGAATGCTTGAACAATTATCTAAGGTGAAAATTTGCTCAGATTTTGAATAAAATTACTCCTTAATGGTGTTAAATTGATTTGAAAAGTTGTTATTTTGTCAATAATCAAGATTTAAAAACGCTTAATTTGATGACGTCATCAAGTGGTGACGATGACGTTAAATTGTTTTTTGATATAATGTAAACTAATAAGTGTAAACGATTATCTTCAAGACCTATGGTTGGAGATGACTGTATCGTTTATACTTTTGAATCTACGGACACTTAAATGTAGGCTACAATTGACTGCCAAAGCGTCTATACATATATATATACCACTATTTGACCAAAACCCATAATCATGGGTAGAGTGGACCGCTGCCAGTGTCTCTCTTTCCCAAACAAAAGGAAATGATATTAATTTGATTGACCGTTCTCAAATGCAAAATGATACCGAGAATGAAATCGGTCGCTCGCTTTTCCCATTCATTCACGGCTCACGAATTGTAATAAGTTTCGATTGATTAGGTACATCAATCAGATGCTGTAAAAATCTCTTTGGGTTGCGTTCGGGTCGATACCTAGTATTTCGGGGTAAGGGTGGTAGTTATTACTTATTGAATTAGCTGAAGTTTATTGCCGAGTACAGCTGCCTTTGGGTAGTTCTTCTTAATCTATTACAATTGTAAATGAATGGGAAAAGCGAGCGACCGATTTCATTCTCGGTATCATTTTGCATTTGAGAACGGTCAATCAAATTAATATCATTTCCTTTTGTTTGGGAAAGAGAGACACTGGCAGCGGTCCACTCTACCCATGATTATGGGTTTTGGTCAAATATCATCTCTTTTTGATTATAATGTCAAGGTACTTTATAAAGTCGAAATATAAACTGATATCTTCATTAATAAGGAGGAAGTTTCAACAATTTCGAAATTTTTCCTTAAAAAACATTTCCTTGTGTTTAGGTAAGCATATCGGTCGATCACTGACTGAATATGCCACTTAATACTCATTCAAGTTGGCATTAAATTCATTTATAATGACATTAAACTGTCGTGGCAAAGCAGAATTTGTTGGAAATCACGAATGAGCAAAATTCTCACCTTTCGCACGTGCAAACTTTGAGCGAACGTTGCGTGCGCATCCAATATTGAATCGCCGTAAATTTTTGCATGGAATTGTTTTATATATAGCTTGATAAGCATGCAAAGTTTCAAAGTATTTCAAGAAGAACTGTAATCACAACGGGACTCCAAAGCTGATAAAAATCGTGAAAATAACAATTTTCAGTGATTTTAGCAATTTTCTATCAATTTGGGCGTGTCCCCACGTGTGCAACTTTTCGATTTTCAACTTTAAAACTAGCCTATAACACAATTTAGACCTTTAAGAAGCAAAATTGAGCTCCACCACCCAAGAGATGGCCCAACACCAGAGAATACTAATTCACAACTTTTGTGTTTTTATAAAATTATTCTTCAAAAAAGCACTAACTTCAATGACAAATATCTTTATGAAGGAGCAAGCTAGAAAAACTTTCCGGTAGATTTTCAGAATGCTTGAACAATTATCTAAGGTGAAAATTTCCTCAAATTTTGAATACAATTACTTTTTAATGGTGTAAAATCATTTTTTAAAGTTATTACTTTGTCAAAAATCAACTTTTAAAAACGGTTAACTTGATGACGTCATCAAGGGGTGTTCATGACGTCAAATAATTTGTTTATACAATGTAAACTAAAGTGTAAACAATTATTGTCAAGACTTGTGGTCGGAAATGGCTGTATCTTTTATACTTTTGAATCTATGGACAATTAAATACAGGCTACAATTGACTGGCAAAGCGTCTATCCCTGAATATGTATATATCACAGTGCTGGCAAGCACGAGCGGTGTCTTTATTGGGGGTATACTATGTACCCCCTTTACTATAATTGTACCCCCTTTACTATTATACCCCCTTTGGTACACGTTACAAGCCTCTTTCGTGCACGCGAAGCGTGCACTCCGGCCGGAGGCGGCGGCCGAAGGCCGCCGCCTCCGGCAGGAGTTTTTCAGGCATTAAGACTCATCGGAAGTCGTTCAGCAGATTTTTTAAAGTTCAAAACATTCTAATTTGATGTCAAAGATGACAGGAATAAAAAATAGTTATGTTGAGATTTTTAAGAAATTTGCATAAAATACTCGCCAGCACTGTTATACGAAATTCGGTAAAAAACCCAAAATCGCCATATTCAGGTGCCTTAAAAACCATGTTAAAATTAAGTTAGAGATCTGAAATTTTTCAGGGCGTCTAGACGTTGACCAAATCGACTGCAAAAAAAGTTTCAGGTTTCAGGATCATCGGGAAATGGGTTTTCTAGAACCCCTGTTTTACGATAGATTGTCGTGATACATACATATATATATATATATATTTGATGTATATATATATATATATATATATTTGACCAAAACCCATAATCATGGGTAGAGTAGACCGCTGCCAGTGTCTCTCTTTCCCAAACAAAAGGAAATGATATTAATTTGATTGACCGTTTTCAAATGCAAAATGATACCGAGAATGAAATCGGTCGCTCGCTTTTCCCATTCATTCACGGCTTATACGAATTGCAATAGGTTTCGATAAATTACATCGATCACATGCTGTAATAATCTCTTTGGGTTGCGTTCGGGTCGATACCTAGTATTTCGGGATAAGGGTGGTAGTTAGTGAATTAGCTGAAGTTTATTGAATCTTTATTGCCGAGTACAGCTGTCTTCGGGTATTACATTTGTAAATGAATGGGAAAGCGAGCGACCGATTTCATTCTCGGTATCATTTTGCATTTGAAAACGGTCAATCAAATTAATATCATTTCCTTTTGTTTGGGAAAGAGAGACACTGGCAGCGGTCCACTCTACCCATGATTATGGGTTTTGGTCAAATATCATCGCTTTTTGATTAATGTCAGGGTACTTTATAAAGTCGAAATATAAACTGATATCTTCATTAATAAGGAGGAAGTTTCAACGATTTCGAAATTTTTCCTTTGAAAACATTTCCTTGTGTTTGGGTAAGCATATCGGTCGATCGCTGACTGAATTTGCCACTTTATACTCATTCAAGTTGGCATTAAATTTATATATAATGACATTGAACTGTCGTGGTAAAGCAGAATTTGTTCGAAATCACGAATGAGCAAAATTATCACCTTTCGCACGTGCAAACTATGAGCGGACGTTGCGTGCGCATCCAATATTGAATCGCCGTAAATTTTTGCGTGTTGGTGTTTTATATATAGTTTGATAAGCATGCAAAGTTTCAAAGTATTTCAAGAAGAACTGCAATCACAACGGCACACCAACGTTTACAGAAAATGGTAAAAACAGCAATTTTCAGTGATTTTAGCAATTTTCTATCAATTTGGGCGTGTCCCCACGTGTGCAACTTTTAGATTTTTAACTTTAAAACTAGCCTAATACACAATTTATACCTAAAGGAAGCAGAACTGAGCTCCACAACCCAAGGGATAGCCCAGCACCAGAGAATACTAAATCGCAAAATTGACGTTTTTATAAAATAATTCTTCAAAAAAGCACTAACTTCAATGGCAAATATCTTTATGAAGGAGCAAGGTAGGGAAACTTTCCGGTAGATTTTCAGAATGCTTGAACAATTATCTAATATAAAAATGTCCTCAGATTTTGAATAAAATTACTCCTTAATGGTGTAAAATCAGTTTGAAAAGTTGTTATTTTGTCAAAAATAAAGTTTTAAAAACACTTAATTTGATGACGTCATCAAGTGGTGATGATGACGTTAAATTATTTTTTGATATAATTGAAACTGAAGTGTAAACAATTATCTTTAAGACCTGTGGTCGGAAATTGCTGTATCTTTTATACTTTTGAATCTCCGGACACTTAAATTCAGGCTTCAATTGACTACATTTGACTGGCAAAGCGTCTATCCCTGAATATATGTATCACGACAATCTATCGTAAAACAGGGGTTCCAGAAAACCCATTTCCCGATACTCCTGAAACACGAAATTTTTTTTACAGTCGATTTGGTCAACGTCTAGACGCCCTGCAAAGTTTCAGATCTTTAACTTAATTTTAACATGGTTTTTAAGGCACCTGAATATGGCAATTTTGGGTTTTTTACCGAATTTCGTATAACATGCTGGCGCGTATTTTGCGTAAATTTCTTAAAAACCTCCACATAACTATTTCTTGTTCCTGTCATCTTTAACATTGAATTAGAATGATTTGAACTTAAATATACCTGCTGAACTACTTTCGATGAGTCTTAATGCCCGAAAAACAATAAAGGGTTATATTTATAAAAGTAAAGGGGGTAAATAGTAAAGGGGGTAAATAGTATGTGAATATAAGAAGCACGGTCATGCTTGCCAGCATTGTGATTCAGGGATAGACGCTTTGCCAGTCAATTGTAGCCTGTATTTAGGTGTCCATAGATTCAAAAGTATAAAAGATACAGCCATTTCCGACCACAGGTCTTGCAAATAATTGTTTATACTTTAGTTTACATTGTATAAAAAAATTATTTGACGTCATAAACACCCCTTGATGACGTCATCAAGTTAACCGTTTTTAAAACTTGATTTTTGACAAAGTAATAACTTTTAAAATTAATTTTAAACCATTAAGAAGTAATTTTATTCAAAATCTGAGGAAAAATTCATCTTAGATAATTGTTCAAGCATTCTGAAAATCTACCGGAAAGTTTTTCTAGCTTGCTCCTTCATAAAGATATTCGTCATTGAAGTTTGTGCTTTTTTGAAGAATTATTTTATAAAAACGTCAATTTTGCGATTTAGTATTCTCTGGTGTTGGGCCATGCCTTGGGTTGTGGAGCTCAGTTCTGCTTTCTATAGGTATAAATTGTGCATTAGGCTAGTTTTAAAGTTGAAAATCGAAAAGTTGCACACATGGGGACACGCCCAAATTGATAGAAAATCGCTAAAATCACTGAAAATTGCTGTTTTCGTCATTTTCTGTCAACTTTAGAGTGCCGTTGTGATTACAGTTCTTCTTGAAATACTTTGAAACTTTGCATGCTTATCAATCTATATATAAAACAATTACATGCAAAAATTTACGGCGATTCAATATTGGATGCGCACGCAACGTCCGCTCAAAGTTTGCACGTGCGAAAGGTGAGAATTTTGCTCATTCGTGATTTCCAACAAATTCTGCTTTGCCACGACAGTTTAATGCATAGTTGGTTCGTGCGCACTTAACGTACTTTTAAAACATAACGCACTTAACGTACGAAAAAAACGTAAAACGGTGAATTCACCGGTAAATGTACTTAACCGCACTTTTAACGCACGAAATAATTCAAACGCACTTTACGTACTTTTCCCGAAAAATTGACGCACGAACCAACTATGGTTTAATGTCATTATATATGAATTTAATGCCAACTTGAATGAGTATTAAGTGGCATATTCAGTCAGTGATCGACCGATATGCTTCCCTAAACACAAGGAAATGTTTTTTAAGGAAAAATTTCGAAATCGTTGAAACTTCCTCCTTATTAATGAAGATATCAGTTTATATTTCGACTTTATAAAGTACCCTGACATTATAATCAAAAAGAAATGATATTTTACCAAAACCCATAATCATGGGTAGAGTGGACCGCTGTCAGTGTCTCTCTTTCCCAAACAAAAGGAAATGATATTACTTTGATTGACCGTTCTCAAATGCAAAATGATACCGAGAATGAAATCGGTCGCTCGCTTTTCCCATTCATTTACAATTGTAATAGATTAAGAACAACTACCCAAAGGCAGCTGTACTCGGCAATGAAGATTCAATAAACTTCAGCTTGTTCAATAAGTAATAACTACCACCCTTGTCCCTTACCCCGAAATACTAGGTATCGACCCGAACGCAACCCAAACAGATTTTTACAGCATCTGATTGATGTAATCAATCGAAACTTAATTATACAATTCGTAAGCCGTGAATGAATGGGAAAAGCGAGCGACCGATTTCATTCTCGGTATCATTTTGCATTTGAGAACGGTCAATCAAAGTAATATCATTTCCTTTTGTTTGGGAAAGAGAGACACTGACAGCGGTCCACTCTACCCATGATTATGGGTTTTGGTAAAATATAATATATAGATATCACGACAATCTGTCGTAAAACAGGGGTTCTAGAAAACCCACTTCCCGATGTTCCTGAAACCTGAAACTTTTTTTGCAGTCGATTTGGTCAACGTCTAGACGCCCTGAAAAATTTCAGATATCTAACTCGATTTTAACATGGTTTTTAAGGCACCTGAATATGGCGATTTTGGGTTTTTTACCGAATTTCGTATAACAGTGCTGGCGAGTATTTTATGCAAATTTCTTAAAAATCTCAACATAACTATTTTTTATTCCTGTCATCTTTGACATCAAATTAGAATGTTTTGAACTAAAAATAAATCTGCTGAACGACTTCCGATGAGTATAAATGCCTGAAAAACTCCTGCCGGAGGCGGCGGCCGAAGGCCGCCGCCTCCGGCCGGAGTGCACGCTTCGCGTGCACGAAAGAGGCTTGTAACGTGTACCAAAGGGGGTATAATAGTAAAGGGGGTACATAGTATACCCACAATAAATGCACCGGTCGTGCTTGCCAGCACTGTGATACTATACTTCACGACAATCTGTTGTAAAACAGGGGTTCCAGGAAACCCACTTCCCGATACTTCTGAAACTTTAAATTTCATTTACACTCGATTTGGTCAACGTCTAGACACCCTGCAAAGTTTCAGATCTTTTACTCATTTTTAACGTGGTTTTTAAGGCACCTGAATATGGCGATTTTGGGTTTTTTACCTAATTTCGTATAACATGCTGGCGCGTATTTTGCACAAATTTCTTGGAAATCTCCAAATAACTATTTCTTATTCCTGTCATCTTTAACATCGAATTAGAATGGGGGTAAGCAGTAAGGGGGTTAAACAGTAAAGGGGGTAAATAGTAGAGGGGGTAAATAGTAAAGGTGGGTAAATAGTAAAGGGGGTAAATAGTATTGTGATTATAAGGGCGACGGTCATGCTTGCCAGCATTGTGATTAGTTAATGAAATAAAATGAGCAAATAAAAGCCATGCATTAGAAACTGTGCATATTACATATGCCATTAGAGCAGCAGTCTCTCTCAGTCCATTGAATTTCTCTATCACTCCATGTCTACCTTACCAATTATCACTATTGAGTAAAGTAACGAAACCACTTTAGTAGTTTTCCGGGAACATACTATCGGCACTGTCGAATATGCCACCTTCAGCAAATACCTTAGTAGGCATATTTATGTTGTACAAAATTTGGGGATTTTAAAAAATCCCCATATTTATGCGCCATCAAAATCCCGATCCCCAGATTTATGTGCAACTTAAATAATTGCTTATGTGAATAAGCAATTATCGGAAAGAGCAAGTACGATTATAATATTACAATTCCCGTCCCCAGGTGCCCTAACGGCTCCCATGATATACAGTTTCCTGTGGCTCACTATATTCGGGGGCTCAGCTCTGTGGAATGAGAAGTATGCAGCTGAGCAGCACACGGTGGAGAGACCCTTCTGCTGTCCTGCCGATCCTGGTGAGTGAAATTAGTTTTTCAGCCTATTAATGCTTTTCATACAAAGTTACAAAAAATTCTTCGTGTTGTGCATCCTGGGTTTGACATACTATAATATATATATATATATATCCATATACAGGATATGACCCGTTTGAAATATTTCCATCACCGCGTTACATAATTCTGAAACATATTATATTTACAATAAATTATGCAATCACAACATTATGATCAACAAAATAAATTTATATTTGCTGTCCTGCTGACCCTTGTGAGTGAAATTAGTTTTCAACCTCTAATATCAAATTATATGTTGAAGATCTTTGCCAATTTTCATTTGCTCTAGCTTGTGCCATTTTTAAACCGATATTTTTTACAACAGCGAAAAGTTATCATTATGTAGTTACTGAATATATATTGTAATATTTTTTTTGTAAAAGCTAATAATTCCAGAGATGTTGGACTGGGCAGGAGCTTATAAAGCAGATATCTCTAAATGGGACGAGGTCCTAGTATCTGGACTGAAGGATACATACAACAAGAAAACAGGAAGGTACATTAAACTAGATTTATATATCAAATAACGGAGTAGTTCGCTGTTTATTAGTCTCATGATTGAAATACTGATATCTGGATATTATCCGGTTGGAAGAGACAAGGACAAGTGAAACAAGGAAGTTAGGAGTAAGGGCAAATTTTCGGCGTCAACGCCATCTTCAGGCTCAAATTATTTGTTATATAGTAGTGTTGAAAGTATTAATTTAATTATTTGTTATTTAATACTTTCAACACTACTATATAACAAATAATTTGAGCCTGAAGATGGCGTTGACGCCGAAAATTTGCCCTTACTCCTAACTTCCTTGTTTCACTTGTCCTTGTCTCTTCCAACCGGATAATATCCAGATATCAGTAGATTTATATACTGGTCCCTTCACCCGGTCGGCCTTTCACGTGAAATTCACGTGATACTTGTCACGTGATTCGCCCCTTCTTAACTACAGTCTAACCGTTGAACTTGTAGGTTTGCTGTAAATTAGGGGGTGGTAACTCGGGGTTCGCGGTAACTCTGGGGCGGTGAATCGGGGTTTAACTGTATATAAGCCATATAACACGGCACGATAGAACACGATAAGTATTACCCCTAATCTAACAACAGGTATGACAGATAACTGACTATATAACAGGTATGATGCTGACAGTGTGGTGGAGTGTACCAAGAGTACCATAACAATGTGGGGGACAAGTGGTTAAATGGGGAGGAGAATAATCTGGGGAACTTTGAGAAGTTCTACAAAGTTGATAAGAACAGATACAAGATGTCCATGTCTGAGGATAATAGGTGAGTAACCAGGTAACTGCAGGTAACCAGGTAACCAGGTAACCAGGTAACCAGGTAACCAGGTAACCAGGTAACCAGGTAACCAGGTAACCAGGTAACCAGGTAACCAGGTAACCAGGTAACCAGGTAACCAGGTAACCAGGTAACCAGGTAACCAGGTAACCAGGTAACCAGGTAACCAGGTAACCAGGTAACCAGGTAACCAGGTAACCAGGTAACCAAGTAACCAAGTAACCAGGTAACCAGGTAACCAGGTAACCAGGTAACCAGGTAACCAGGTAACCAGGTAATCAGGTAATCAGGTAACCAGGTAAACAGGTAACCAGGTAACCAGGTAACCAGGTAACCAAGTAAGTTCTATAAAGTTGAAGAGTTGATAAGAACAGATAAACGATGTCCATGTCTGAGGATAATAGGTGAGTAACCAGGTAACCACTAACCAGGTATCCAGGTAAGTTCTATGAAGTTGAAGGGTTGATAAGAACAGATAAAATATGTCCATGTCTGAGGATAACCGGTGAGTTTCGTTTGCTGTCAAATAGTTGTTGAATAGGATTAGAATGGGACACATACTAGTCGTTGATCACTGATTGCATGGATCGTTATCCTTGTCCCTGTTCCTTGTCCCTGTTCCTTGTCCCTGTTCCTTGTCCCTGTTCCTTGTCCCTGTTCCTTGTCCCTGTTCCTTGTCCCTGTTCAGTGTTCAGACTGAGATGCGACCCACCTACCCCACTTATGTCGAAGCCACGGCGGCCCACGAGGACACTGTACTCTCACACCCTGTTAATGTTTCAGAATAGTGCGAATATCCTGCCTCAAACTGGACACTAAACTGTAATTTCATATCCTGCACTCTCACACCCTGTTAATGTTTCAGTATAGTGCGAATATCCTGCCTCAAACTGGACGACCAGTGGTTTGCTCTGATGTACACTAAAGGAAAGCTAGGAACTATGCTGAGTGTTGTATCCCTCTTTGGCATCGTCCTCTATTTCGTTACCAGCGCTGATTCAGGTCAGTTGGCGGAGAGCCAGCTTTAACAGATTATATGGCGGAGAGCCAGCTTATTGTTAAGTATTTCCGGAGTTTGAAAATCTGAAAAATTGCCAAAACGTGGAAATATAATCAGTTTTGTTCTTAAAGTGGTTTCGTCTGCTATGAAAGTAAAACTAAACTGCTCGATATCCTCCAGGTAGTCTTGTGATAGACATCATGGCCGCTAACGGAGACCAGAACCCACCCCGATTACAAAGGGTGTTCTGGGCCATGGTGGAGGGAGCTACCGCTACTGCACTACTTATAGCTGGAGGCAAGGAGGCACTGTCTGCTGTTCAGGTTAGATATTCGCTCCGGAGTATATTGATAGTTTCCCCCTTTGTCTTGTATTTGTGCGAGTCCGTTTTTTAAATGTCAGCAAGGCCTTATCATTATTTCTCCATTTAATGTTAACACTTTATGCACAGTATAGTCATAAATCATAAATGAATGAGTTTATAATATAATAAAACCTTCATCGGGAGCAAGAAATAATATTTCATAGAAATATTTGATATTTTCTTGTCTCAAATTCTAAAGAAATCGCTCTTTGACACCTAGCTTCGACGTGAAATTGAAGGGTGATACAAATTGTTAGGTCATGAATTGTTTATTACAATTTATATGTAACAGAAGTGGTCGTGATGATAGATTGTGTTCTTAACTGACGGCTTAAGTGCTGATAGATATGACAGATGTCATGATATATCAAGTTTTCGGAAATAATATGTTACTGATAACTGCTCATCGTAATTCGTAACGTTTAGGTATTACCTCATATTTTATCGTATCTTATTTAGGGATTACTTAATCGTATCTTGTGAGCTTTTAGTCATCATCTTTAGCTCCTTTATAATTTATTCAGTTCTATAGAAATATTTTATGAGATTATGCACCATTATGAGAGGCTGCCCCTGTAAATGCAGTATAATGGACGACTATTTCGCGTATATCGGACAGTAAAACAGTTGTACAAATCTGATCGTTGATTGTCGAAGTTAATCAATAATCGGAGAATGGAGCTCGAAGAATTTCTTGAATCGGTGACCAATTCAATGATTACATTGCCATAAACCCTGTGATTGGTCGGATATTGTGGCACGTGCTCTTTCCTGAACAATCTTGTTACTAATGGCGCGGAATCGTTCAATATCTTATCAAACGCGCTAACTCGTTCACTTTGGAGTGCGGATCAGTGGCTCTGAAATCCACCGTTAGGATGTCTGACCTCAGAACACAAGGTATGTTATACTGATTCATACTCTTTAGGGACACAAGTGGGACACAAGGACGCAGCGCACAAGGCATGTTGAAACATAGTATTATTGGTGCACTTTTGGGTCTTGTGGTACTATCGCACTTTTACTCTGTTATGACAGATCACGGCTTTAGGTGAATCATTGATCATGACATTATCATACCTATCGTTGTGTCGGCAAATTGATTTTTTCAGACGGATCTGTCTGTACTATTAATAGGGCCGGTTTAAATTTTAGAAATCAGTATTTTTAATTCTTCAGAAAATTTTAAGGGGGGGGGGGGGGGGGGGGGGTTCACCCTGATTTTTTTGTGAAAGCAGCCACGCCCATATTTTGCCCAATTTAGCCAAATACCTTGAACATGCCCAAAACCCAGAGTTTAGGTGCTCTACTTGTAGCTAGTGGTCTTCTGAACCCGTATATGAATTTTCATCAAGATTGGACAAAAATTGGCTGAGTTATGAGCCAAAAACCATATGACCATATTTGGGCATATGCACCAATTTTGATCGATTTTGGCCCATAAATTGATCAAGTATCAATATTTTTGAATGGAACCAACTTTATATGGAAGGTAAGCCTATACTACACATTCTCTATGAATATCAGCTCAATATCTACCTAACTGTGGATTTTGTGTTCAAATAATCGCAAAAAATTAACAAAATTGCCCATATCTCAGTTCGCGATATTTTCAAAACTGACTTCGCTCTAAACAATAGAACTCAATAGGGTTTCAATATTTTTACATGAAATTTTCAAAATCAGCGTAGAATCGCATTTCGACTTTAAGTTTTGGGACAGAATTTTAAGATAGGCCTTTTAAAAAATTTGGCGGCCAAATTCCAAAATTTGCCGGGCATTTTTCAGAATTTGGCCGCCCTTAATAAGTCATTTTGGACAAAGTTCTGCGGAGGAAGGAAAGTATGTGACAAAAAAAAAACAATTCGAGTTATCTTGATTTACTTTAGAGGACTGCAATATGTCTCCAGCTGGCCTCAATTATGATGGCGAGAGTATCTATAATTTAACTAAGTGATATTTTTAGAAAATTTGCGGGCCATGTTTCAATTTCTTGTTTGCATCAACTAGGTAGATCCATTACTATATAACATAGTGTGTCCTGTTTAACCAGGCCCTTCCGTATAATTATATAGCAAATATTTAACACATTTACCAAATATTTACATTTCTGGGGCCTCACAGTTTCTAGTGTTGTTGCTCTATTTTCAATTTTGGACCAAAGGAACAACTCTAGCGTCCGTGTATCCCATTTCTCCTTGTATGGATTAGCAGGGTGTGGAATGTGTTGTGTGCTTGGTACATGAAGTTTTAAGGTCCTTTATTTTTGAAATATTTCTTAACCGATGTCTGGACTCGATTTTGTAAATGATTTTCAGATGTTTGAGGGTTTGGTGGTGAATCCGCTGCCCAGCAATTGTGCTAATATTCTTTGGTGCTATGCTACGTACAAAGCAAAGGAATTTTGAAATATCTAGAGTCTTTACTCAATCAAAACCAATCGTATATATCGTTATATTTATATTATTCTCCATAGGACGAACAATGCATAAGATTCCACTTCTAGTATCATTAACAAAACAGGCAGTTTCTAGGTCATTAGGTTTTTTTTGTTGATAAATTCTAAACTAATAAATTTGAGTTTGTTGGGGAATTTGCTTTGACTTCGCCACCATTAGACCATTGCAACATGAGTCCTTCTCCCAGTAACTCTGCAGAAATTCATAAATGCTGCGTACAAAGGAATGCGAATTGCGATTGTTTATTCATTTAATTTCATGTCAAACCAACTTATTCATCGGACAAAAAGCTGACGTTGTGAATAACAGCTGCATTTTATTACTCCCTTTTGTTTAAATTACAATCGTGATTGTTGGAAACCAGAGACCGTTTGTTCTTCTCTTACAGCTTAGACACTGACTTGCTGCCATTCGGCATTCGGAATTTATAGAGGCGGGCTTATTTCAAAAAATGTCTTTACATATTTTTACTTTCATTGTCAAGTAGACGGTTTATCTGCAAGCAATTAGAGCGTAATTAATTGGCTACTTTACAACTTTAATTTTCTTTTATTTGGAGGCGGTTATACTTGAACAATCTAAGTAACGTTTACTTTATTTATGTGCAATTCTAGTAGTTCGACGTTACACAACGTAACTAATGATAAATTTATTGGTGATCATGCCTCAAGATACCTCAAATTCATGTGTACAATCAGTCTTAAGATTCTACAATCGCTTATCTTGGGGCGATTGCGGCTGCGTACCATCATTACTGACTTGTCGATTTCATATCAAACAACGCTCATCTCACGTTGAGATAAATTATGCTATGTATAATACATAATAATATGCTCATCATATTATTTATAACCCTCTCTGATTTAACTCTCATATATTTTATTCAATTTCTTTCTGAAGATTAATGAGGCTATTCAGTAAATGAATATATTAGTAGGATCGACTGCTTTCTTAGTCTACCACGCTTCCTTTGCTTTAACAAAACACCGTCTTACTTTAGTGATTGTTCGTCGTGATGGTCTCAGAGCGGGAGCACAACGCCGGTAAAATGTTCTTCATCTTATAGAAGCGGTGATGTTTTCATTTTACTGTAATCATTTAAGCAATAAAGTTTTTGTTAATTTAGTTCTAGAACTATTTACGAATTGTTTTGTGTTATTTTGAAGTAACCAAATCCATTTGAATATACAAATCGTTACTAGCGGTATATTATGCGTTATATTATGCATTAGCAAATCATAAATGATGACGAAGAGCAGTAGAAGTAAAAAAGAGCAGTAGAAGTAAAGATGTCCGGCTTGTCACAATTGCTGTTACTTTAACTTTTCTCATCTATAATTGAACATTAAGGAAAGATAATCGCATTGGAAGCATAATGGGTTCAGAAGATAAGTTATTTGGCGTCGTTATAGCAACTAACAGCGTCGTTATTAGCAACTAGTTTAGCTTTATGATTTATCAATACTAGCAGGAACCCGTCTAACACTAAAGTGGTGTCAAGACTCAAGAGACTAAAATAATTATTACCTATTTAATTCGCGTTTTTGACACCAATTGGGGGTCCAAATTTTGGGCACTAGTTGGCCAATTTTTATTTTCTCATGCTGATTTGAATGCCATTAAAGCATTTGAACCAGTCAAAAAATTTTCAGTTATATATCTTTTAGTTTTACGGTTATTGCGGAAAGTTGTGTTAAAGTTGATGCCGTGGTGTCAGCAAAATGGTACGGATATATAAACATAAATATATCGTACGTGCTCTATAAAACAATCTGCAGATAACTTCTTACTTCTACCCGACAATATCCATTTTATTTGATCAACAGTCAATTTGCAGATAACATCTAGTGAGCGTCCAAAAAGTGTTCATTTTATTTGATCAACAGTCAATTTGCTAGAGCCAAAGGAGCTGTTATGAAAGATGTGTATTTAGAATAAGGTGCTCTTTTCGTATAAGTATTAAATCTTCACCAGAATTGTATCTTGCAATAGCTCAATCTAAAACCGGAGTTTGTAATCATAAAAATGATCAAATTGGCTTGGAGATGACTAGAAAACAAATGAAGAGATTGCCTTTACTCTTGTTTATTTGTTGCTGATGAATTAATAAACGCTTCATAATTTCCTACAACGCAGTTAAAGAAATTCAAATCAAAACATACTTTTGTTCTGACGGATACTGAAAAATAAAGGTAAGCGAAGCTTGGTAAGTTAAGATCGTTCTTAAGTCATGCTTAATATAAGGATTCACAGTGGAGAATCGGTTGGAGATCTTCCCATAAGCAGCAAATTTTAAAGTATTATTTATAATTCAGCTATTTGTGGCTCGCTGAGTGGATCAGACGTGACATAAACTGTTGGATTTGTAAATAAATAGTAATTTGTTTAATTAATATAACGACAAGTTTAAATAGGGACACTAAAATATTAAACGAACCTTTCCTTCACATGATGAATTCAACGGAAATCCTGCTAAATTGCTGGCGAGACTTCATGTTTT